TAATCAATGTCGTCTTTGCATTTACTATTACACAGCTCATCTCTGTCACATTAGCAAAAACTTGTAACTAAATAGAGTTAGTTATATGCTCTTACAAAGCGTAGAACTTCACAATTGGGTTATTAAGAAGCATGTATTTTGAGCCGTGTCGGAATATTCATGGAGATATCTTTATAAGTTGATTGCCATGAATACATCCAGACGACGAGCGTCCTGTAGCTTTCCAATAGCATTATACGCTAACGTCAATTGTGATATTTCAGACTCTGATCCAATCATTATCAAGTAGCGATCGATATTCACGGCAATTGAGATTAATTTTTGGTAGCTTTAAATGGAGATATCCATGTTACGCGCAACCTTAGAAATCTTAAAAATGAGTTATTGAATCCGACAATAATGGGAGGCCCGCAAAATCAGTATATTTTCTATCGATAAGAGAGGCAAGAGTCTTCGATGTAAGTTGATGATTCGCGAGCGATTGCCGCATTAAAATCTGCACTTGCGTAGTATCTTGCGTCGTTTGCAAAAGCGCCGCCCGAGGCGAGATCTACGGCTTATATTCGAGCGAGTTCTCGGTGTCCTCGTGCACCTGTTGTACACCGTCACGTTTGACTTTTGCCGCGCTTCCGCAGGGCCAAATCGAACGTGATGCCTCGCCTCCCTTCTCCTCTCGACGGCGTGCTTTCCAAGCGACCTGTGCTCGCTTTCGATCGCTCATCGACGAAATGCGCTTCCGCTTCATCGCGTCACGCATCGTATATTCCGACTCTGCTCTCGCGCGACGGAGAACGACTCGAGCAACCAGCTTCCATCGTTGCCGAAGAAAACACGCGCACTTCCGCGGGGAGATGTCAAGTGGCGCTTTGTGCACCTGCAATTACGCGTATATCGCTTTACCTTTCTGTAAAAGTTCTTTATCTGCGCGGGAACAGTCTGCATTTGCGCTCAAAGGGATGGAGGGACAAAAGTGAAGCATTGTGTTTTTTACCTTTGTCGACTAAAACAACAACGCCGAAAGAATATATTTCAAAGTCATTTTTACCCATTGTTACGAGAGAGGAGAGAGAGAGAGAGAGAGAGAGAGAGAGAGATCTTGTGGATTATATTAACGCCTCCTTTTTACTCATTGTACAAATAGTAGTTTAGAAAACTGTTGAGCATTTGTTTTCCTTTTATCATTCTTCTCATTACTGTATTTAGTGTATAGCCTCTAATTACCAAGACAAATAAAGAAACGCTATTAATTATCGAGGAAAAACGATCGAAAAGCAAATGCAGATGCTTGGTATTTCAACCGCGTAGCTTGCAGCGAAAAAAATGACGGTTTAAGCTTCATAATAACCCACTACAACCTCCAGACACTCCGCTTTAAGAAAAGAAAGAGAGAGAGAGAGAGAGAGAGGGAAAACTTCGTGGAAAAAAAGAGACTTCTATCAACGCCGCCTCGTCGTACAGTACACTTATGGAGGCCTTCTTAATTGCATTGTTTATTCGCGCCTCCCCCTCCTTTCTTCCTGCGGCGCGGGCCATAAGGAGCAATTGGATTTTCAAGAGCAGGCTGGCTTAATTAAAAGCTTTTCGCGCTCTCCCTGCCTTCGCGTTATACAGTACGATTATTCGCGGCTAATGTGCACCCGCAAGCCTTTGCGCCCTTGACTGAGAGCGAGGCTCGTGTGCGATTTATCGGATGGAATTTCCCAATGGAAGCTGTTTTCGGGCGATTTCATTTCAGATGAAAAAGACGTATTGAACATGCTTTCGACGTTCGATAATTATCATCCGTTACTTTGAACATTTCAATTTAGAAATTGAATTACGTTGGGATTATGTGTTTTCGATTTTAATCGGTTATTTATATACTTTACGCGATGGCATCACTTAATTAAATTAATTGTCGACAGGGCTATAGGCAATAAGTCGATGTAACTTTTTTAATTCCGGCAGTAAGCAAGATATATATGAATTATGTGTAGTACTATCCCAACGTTTCATTTGGATCCACGATAAATGAAAAATGCAGGCGAATGGGAATGAAAGCTTGAAATTTTCAAGAGAGTAAAAGCCTGCGGCGAAAAAACAAAAAAGCGACATTAGGCCGTGTGAAGCACAGCTGTGTCGTTAAAATTCAGCGTATAACCTGCGGCAACTAGACGAAAAAAGAAAACTCGCAGCAAGTACGTAATTTTCCGTGAATTACAACTCCAGGTTTTCTCTTTCTCTTCCTTATTAAATACAACCGGAATTTTCTTTGGTAAATTTTCAGGAAGAGCAGATGCGTTAGCGTACTAGAGCTTTTGACATTGATTCTCCAAGGCTTTACCTTGAGCGCAGAGCACGGGTCATCCACTATACATGCTCGAGTGTAGGCGTGCGCCTCCGGTTCCGGCTCTTCTCTCTCTCTCTCTTTTAGAGCTGCTGTCGCGGAGGTGCATCGCGGCTATTTTGTTCTTTTCGGACCGACGTAGCTTTGCGCAACTCTTAGCATTTTATACCCACGGGCAAAAAAGCGCCGTACACGCACACGTCGCAGAGAGAAAAGGCTCGAGCCGCGCGTTAATCACGTCGCAATAAGCGAAGAGGCGAGAGAAAAGCCCGCGAGCACTCTCTCTCCGGCGACGAACCGGATAAAATTGCCGCCGGGGAAAGTATGTTACCGAGAGCAACCTGATCTCGGCCGACCAAGTTTGGCGTAACTGGTGCTCAACGCCTACAAACCTTGGACTCAATGGCTCTTTAGCGAACATCGCGTCTTCAGCTTTCGATCCCGAAATTGAACTCGAGAGCCCCAGCTGCTGTTTGCCCTTTGGAAGTCGCGGCGCTTCATTTATCTTTGCGGACTTTACTGCCAAGAATTGAATTTACGAACGTCGATCCTGACATACGTCAACATTCGATTTCGCAGCATTCGATTATCCAGAATACCAATTATTGATTGAATTACGTTCGAATGGATTGAAAAACTAGGGTGCGACATGTCCTGCGCCTTGAATCTTGGTAGTTCGCGTAAATCGACAGCAGGTGCAGAGTATAAATCTAATCGACAGAATCCTCGAGATAACTCGTTCATTTGGAGCAAAGCAGAGTGCAATTTTATCGGGCTGCTAGAAAATCAAAAAGCGATGCAAGCTGGCTTACGTAACCCAATCCGGCTATGTATGCGCATTACGTAGGCTTTGGGAGTGCGCGCGTCACCGCCAGTAGTAACATCCGCGCACGATCAGACGCGCCGCGCTGGCTCTATAGTCAAGATCGCGTAAGGCTCCTGCCGTTCGAATCTATACCGTGCCGTCTTTATTAGATATGGTTTGCTTGTAATATTGCTTCCGAACGAATGTCGTACGTATATGCTGCTATAAAGCAAAGCAAACGTAATACGAGCCATAAATTGATTTTCAGTCGATTAGAACTCGAGTTTAGTGCTACGCTGGCACAAGAATATCGAATAATGCGAAAACTTTGTTGGAATACATCTTTTATACTAGCTCTTAAGAGATATTTATCTCTATAGTCAGAACTTTGTTAATAATTTTGAACATCATGTATGTACGAGACCATATTAAAATCCATGTTTATTTACATATTTCATCGAAAAGTTCAAGCGAATTCAAACTCATAAAAAATAATTTATAAAAATACAGTAACACCACTTGTACGTCATTTCTCACAAAACACAAACAATCGCAAACATTCTGTAATTACGAGTAAAGCCACCGGGCAAACAGCTGCTGTAGAACCACAAAACTGCAAGGGAAGGCTTTCTAATTTGCCTCCGTATAAAAAGGCAGTAAAAGAGGGGAAAAGGCAACGAAAACTCTCAACTTGTTTTCTCGAGCTCGAGGGGATGACTTGTAGAAAAAAGAGAGCGAGTGAGAGAGAAAGCGCTCGATATACAGGAATGCATCGCGACGCAACGATGACCCACTTGAAGCGATGACGTTAATACGTATATGCCCAGCCGAAAAAAGGTTTCTTAAAAAGTCCCTTTTGAAAAATAGTGAATCGTTTATCGCTATAAATTGGATTCTCGAGCGGATGAGTGTCTTCCGCAAATGATACGCGACGTGGCGTCGGTTAAAATTTCAGCCGACTTTAATGGACGACTCGTGTTGGTATCTATTTTTGTTATTCTCGATACTAAATATAAAAGTCTTCGCTGAAGTGCAGCGTGACATGCATTAATTAGTGAAAAATACTGACGGCATTCTTGCGCCATATAAGGAGCACTTTAATTCTTCGTGTGATTTTTACCGCGAACAGTTGACGAAGATCAAACTTCGCTTAACAGAGGCTATTTTTCGATGATCAGAAAATTTCACTCGCAATTAAGCGTTCACTTGAAAAGACTTATAAAAGTGACTTATTAAAGTTAATCTTCAATTTTATTGAAATAGACTGCATTACGACTGTGTATTTTATGATTTGCCGTCTTGATGGCTGTAAATACCACATCAATGTACAGACTAATTTATTTTTCATATATTTATTATTAATGAACCTACTGTATTTGAGTAGCCTCAGCACAAATATTCTGCTGTTCTAGGATAATTATTTATAAAATTACGTCAAGTTAATATAATTTCTATGGAAGCTCGGCTCCGAGCTGACTTAACTAATTTAGTAATATGCGGAAATAATATTTCAAATTTTCTATGCATCTAATTCATTTTTAAATTTTGCATGCCGTTTCGAAAAATTTTTAGTTTAGGGTTGTTTGACATTCTCGAGAATGCCATTAATAATGATCAATATGATAAAATTGCCAAAAAATTATTTTTGCACATATATGAGTGTTATTAGAAAAAAAAATCAAATGATCATACAGCATTATAGCCCTGAACATGTATCCGCGTCATCTATTAAAAATACTAGATTATTTTCTGTAAAAATATATTGAATCACCAATTGCTTGTTACCATATGGCTAAAATAAATGTATCGTGCAATAACCCCCCAAGCCTTAAAAATAGGAGATGAACGACAGGCAATCCGATTTTTCAGGTGAGGCGGTAGTATGTTACCAGTGCAACAGCGAATACGACCCAAGATGCGGCGATCCCTTCGACCCGTACAGTCTTGGCACGGTCAACTGCAGCTTTCAACCACGCCTCGAGCACTTGGACGTCGAGCCTGTGCTCTGCCGGAAAATCTCGCAAAAAGGTCAGCTTCACTTCTCGCGTATATACTTTCGCTTTAATCCGACGAGCATTACTTATTTAAGCGTTACTTGCCCATCGATTCGCGGTATAATGAAATGTTAGCTTTTGCCAAGCAATTGATTTATCAACGATTTAGCGAGGCTGGTGCTGGATAGCTGGAGTTTGAATTGTTAACAAGCTTGTCGGTACACGCTTATCGATCATTAACAATTGACTCGATCCGCTGTACGACGAGCTTTGGTCGTGGAGGATCAATGCTCCAGATAGACGGAGCCAGCAATCGATGCAAAGTGTGGAGTCGGTGTAACGCTCTGTAAACAGATTATTCTTTATGGAGCCACCGCGAGCTTTCGCGTGCGCGGCGAATGGAAGTAGGTTTGCAGGATACGGCCGTGTTACCGCTACATCTGGGTCTCAGTCCTCGACATTCGATTTTTCGTTTCGCGAGCGAGCACAGCTGGTGTATACCTATACCGGGTGCCCTGATAATAATAGAAACGATATAGCAGGAAATTCATTTTCAAAAATTCTATTTAATTTTACTATTATTATTCAATCGACTGGAAGCCTCCGAGTTCTTATTTGATTTTTAAAAAGTTGCAATTTTCTAGCTAACGTTCCTACTTATATAACAGCTTTTATTCAATTTAGTTTGACTTTTGAAATGGAAACGAAGATAGTCGCTATTAATGCATATATTGCATCAGTCTTCATCAAATAAGCTTTTAGTCATGAAATCCTCGGGATCACGCTGAAGTGTAAAAGGGAATTCAATGTCAACTAAATTGCTGAACAAAACTAAATTTACATCGGAACAATTCGGCATCTCAAAGCTGCACTTTATTCAAAGAGACGCGCACGGGATTTGGCAAAGGAGATCGAGCATTTGACGGTCGCTCACTGCATTGCGGCGCGGCCTCGGGTTTTAGGTGCCGCACGCGACGCTGCTCCTCTCTCGCTCTCTCTCTCGCGGGCGCGCGCGCGCGCGCACGTTACGTAAGCAGCTTCTCTCGCTTCGATTTCTGCTCCGTAAACTAGCGCCTCGATCGGACGACCCTTTTGCGGGTGAGATAAGAATCTGCGTGCCGAAGTTGAAAAGCCGAGCAGACTCGACAACGACCACGCGTCAATTTCGGGATTTTGAGGAATTGTTCAAAGTTTAATGTAGCCGTGGCGCTCGAGCTCTCGATTGATTGTTGCGAGACTTTATAAGACTTTTGTATTTTTGTTTTCGTAAATACGAGATACGTTGTTTGTTTTGTGAATTCGCTGTTTACCACTTCACGGTATAATCTTGTTTGCATACGGAGAAACATTGCAGTTTCGGTTATAGAATTTCCGTTTCACTTCATCGATATTCAACGATAAATAACTTTTAGCTTGAAACATTGAGAATCCCATCGCCGGTCAACAATTGGTTCATTTATTTCTGACAAATCGTTTGAATGATCTCAAGACTAAATATTGAACATTGCTATTCACAAGCAGGACGGTACTCAATAAAAGAAAGAAAAATCGCGTGAACTGCAGAATTCATTGGACTTTGAAGCTTTAATCTTGAAAATACATTCTAACGCGGAAAACATACGTACGTCTTACGGCGAGAACACGCGTTACATAACGTTTTCATTTTCAGGGTCGATCGAAGCCCACTGGCTTGCTCCTCGCTAGTATATATCGAACTTCTATATTTTTGCGTTCACAAAGCAGAATTGCTTCATTTGCATTCTCTGTGCGTGCGCTTTCTCTCAGTTGTAATGGAAAGACACACGGACGTATCTCAAACGAATCAACGTTTTGGTCTCGCGTGAGGTAATCAGCCAATTCGAGAAACGCACGTTCATTAGCCCGCAAGCCGACTGCATTAACTTCGTTTCAATTCAACTCTAGCTGCACTCGATTGGTGAACAGACACTCGACTGAATAGACGCGTCGAATGACATTTTATAAAGATCCTTTTCTTTCCGATCATGTATTCAAAACTCGCGTAGCTTTTTCCGTCTTCTGAATACTTTATTTATTTACTTTTCTAAAATATTCAATGGGTTACATAAAAATTTATCGAGGTCGGTTTATAAATAAATCAAGGTAAAAATACACGAGATTTATATGAAAATTGCTGGCTCCGTAAGCTAAATAATTAAAGAAATGCTACATGAATTATCAACTATCAGCTTCGCTCACTTTGTTCTGCTCGATATTCATAAGTAATGTTGTTACTATATACCGCGATTGCTCGCAATTAGTACACATTGAACACGTGAAATGGAATTTGATAAAGGCGTAGTTGCCATTTGATCCGTCCACAATCTGGTTGAAAAGCCGAATATATATGTGAAAAAGCAAGTCGCAATCTTCGTTCAAAGCACAGGAACATTGTGGCAACGGGTAATGCGTCGCGCGCAGACCATGTAATAAGGATGATTAGGGAAAGCTGGCGTCAATTAGAAAACGCGGTCGTTGGCCATCCGCCAAGCTAAGAGTGGCGAAAATAATGACGATGACGATGTTAATTGCAGTGTACGGGAAAGACCGTGTGGTGCGTGGATGCGGTTTCCTCGAGGATGAAAAGACCGACAACAAAGCTTGCCTGTCGCGCAGCGGCACTCACGACGTGCGCGCCAAGTACTGCTCGTGCACCACGGATTTGTGCAACTCAACGCCTGCGAGCACGGAGCCAGCGTCCATCGGTCTTCTCACGCTTCTGGGCTTTGTCATCGCGGGGCTCGATCGCCTGCCAACGACACCCTAGGAACTCACCGCTAATTGCTTTTTTAGTCCTCGATGCCTCGGATGGTTTGTGCACCTTGTACACTGTGTTTTTCTATTCATTTCAAGATATTTAACCTGCGATTTCGCTTCTCAGCTTTTTCCGAAAGATCTTCATTTTGCCAGGGGCAAACTGTTTCTATGTGCTAGTCAAAGCAAACTTGACATCAAATATATATATCATCTAATACATATAGCATAACTTTGTTTTCAGTGCAGAATATTCAAATTGAAATCAATATACTGTTATCGCGATATTTTTTAAAATATGGTAATATAAAGGTCTTTATCAAAAAACAACTTGTAACTTGGAAAAACATTGCCGATTCATTGATAGTTAGCGTCCCCTTAATGATATCACTGTCCCAATAAATTAACTTTTTATAAAATAAGGTATACATCAGTTTATGATAAAAAGTTTTCTTTGTTTCAACTGTTAGTTTATATTTTTTCGAGATATAAGATAGAGATTGGTTAGTAGATCATCTTTATCACTTCATTGTCGTGTAGTTTTACCTTTTTCAAATTGAAAAAAAATTGTGCAACAAGATCCTGTAATAAAATATTATACAAAAAAAACTAAACTTTAAATACTAAAACAATCATATTTTTTTGTAAGTTTGAAAGATTCTTCATTTAAAATCTCATAACCTTTGTTATAACTTTTCATTTTGTAAGTTGAATTCATTAAGTACTGCGTGCAAACAACAATGATTTATTTTCACGCAATCAGAGCCTCTAGAAATGTCTACCTCCGTTAAAATAAAATACAATAATTGTATTATCCGCAGGTCGAGCGAGTCTCTCAGCCGATAATCGAAAAGAAAAATAGATCGATTTTCCGTCGGAGGGTCCAGCAATCGCTGTGAGAGCGAGGCAACAAAGACGAGCTAAAAGGCAAATCAAGCGCGCTGACAAAGTAGCAGAACAAGGCGATTAATAACGAACAAAGAAAGCTGCAGACGAGCGAACGAGTCAATAGAAGCTATACGCAACTCAATGGCAGACGGTTAATCAATCTCGGCAATAAATGACGCGGACCTGATGAATAACCGCATCCACTGCAATTCTTTTATCGTTTTCCTTGCCACCATTCGGGAATATAACTCGCGCGGCTTTTTTTCTTGCCACGTAAACTGCCAAGTTATTAACAAAAACAAACTACAGCCACGAATCTTTGTTGAATTTTTTGTTTGTTTTTCTTTTTTATAGCGCCCAAATGCCCTAAAATGATTTCGAAACAAGCGAGCAAGAACAACTTCCATATTCAAATAGTATTGATAAGAAAGAAAACGATGCACGCTGACCGTTACTTCTTGTATTATTAGTAAAAAGAAAAGAAACGTGACACGTCCTTTTACACACCGGCCTATAAATTAATAAGCTTTAAAGGGGTGGGATGGTAAAAAAAGGGAGAATGGATGAAGTGTGCTGAGGTGAAAGGTTTTTTTCTTGAATAGAGCGAGTATTTTCAAAGTACAACGGACGCCGAGATCGATTGTTTCGCGCGCTTAAAATTTTAATTAACGATCTAAGGTACTAAAGTACTACGATTATATAATACGACGCGCTTTCGGAGTTACGATAATGTCAAATATAGAGCGTCTTCGTCTTCACTCATTGATGCGATTTATCGAATAGATCCGCATGCCAATTTTCGAATCAGGATAGTTGATTTCTGTCAGTTCTGCTCAACTCCAATTTCACTGAACACGTTTGACTCTCGCATCTTGATAAAGGCGTAGCTCCGACGATAATCAAGCGCAGGGATATAAAAGTTTATAAAGTAAGTTTTAACGCTAGCGAAAACGAATAAAATAAGTAAAGAAATGCGAGCCACCTTCACCTGCTGCTAACGTAGCTACTTGCAAAAAATCTGAAGAAATAAGAAACAAGCAAACAAAAAAAACAGAAAGTCACGATTTTGATGTGCGCGCGCGCATAGTTCATATACTTATATACTACTAAATAGCAAAGAAATAGGCTTCAAGACTTATTGAACCACGACGAAAAGCAAAAAAAAAACAAGCGACTATTAATAGATTAATCGAGCGCAGGGATTTGCTACTACGATTAGGAATTTATATAGTAAATGCGTAAACATGAATGGTGCGACTGCTCCGAGGATTTGAAATTGTAGTCATGTTGTACTAATAAACTCGCTTCGTTGATGATAAATTCAACAGTTGTGACCCTCTTCAAGGGTATAGTATATGAGAATTAGAGAAATAATTAAAGAATTAAACAAACGAACGAAGCAATGAACTATTGACATAGATTTAGTTTAATCAATCAAAAAGTAAATAGATAAAAGATTTTTTTTTCTGAGAACGTGTAGATAGCTGTGCATATACCTCGCAGTGGTCGTGCGCGATTTCACAAAAAAAGAAAGTGAATACGATTGTCCTGGCGCTTTTGCCACGCTAAAGACGTAAGCTTCGCGAGATTTTGACAAACAAACAAAAATAAATAATCAAATCCTGCCAGGAGAGCGAAGGAGGGATTTTTCGAAGGTTTCTATCGTCGTACACCTGCCGTCATGCTTTGCAAGTTGAACGCTTCCTTTTCTTTTATGAAGATCTCTTGCAAAGCGACAGAAGCGAACTGTGTTCCAACGAGAATGTGAGACGAAATTATAACTAGCCAGGCTAAATTAAAGAGCAATATACACGCGGATTTTTTGCCTCGAGTTTTACACAAAAAACTAATGAATCGCGCGTTTCACCAACTTTTCCGTACTCGAGTCTATATACATATGTTTCTCTCTATCTTTCACTCTCGTTAAATTATAAGATACGTTGTTGTCAATCGATTGGCTCGCATTCTTTTGATACACTCGTCGGCTGACGGAGTGTGATGTGAAAAAGGTTTGATATTTTGTATCCCGGAGGGTATTTATTGGATATGTACGAAACAAGATTGCTACTTTGTCATGAGTGATCATGTTGCACAGTAGATTTTCATCGAAATCATAGTTTGATTTTGAACATTTGGTTGCTCTCATTTTTAATTTATTTTCTAATCGAGCGCTACCTCTTTAGTTGATGACATTCATATATGTATACCTATTTTTTCACAGCTTTCAGAACATTCTAAATGTCAACGAAACATATCAGAGTGTAAGTTTAATGTATTCTATCGTAAGTGCAGTAAAAGTATTTTTGTGCAAAGACGTGCATAATGAAGAAAGTTAATTTAGAATGCTTCTTTAAAGTTTATTAAACTTTTCTGAAAAAAAATCAAAATGGATTTGGCACAAAAATACTTGTACTAAAGGATCGTTTACCGTAAGCTTTTCATTGTAAAACCATTGCCTATATCTGCATCGGCCTACTCAATAAAACAAAAGTATAGAATATAAAAATACGACTGCTTCAGACTCAAAGAAAAAAGAAAAATAAATGTTAGGGTATATCACATCGAAAACGAAGACAGGTAGAAGGTGAAACGAATAAATGGCGAAAAGAAGCGACAGACGACTACGTTTCTTTATCGCTTGAAGTCATTTTAACCGATTGTATCGAAAGAATGTCCTAGTCGAAGTAATGATTGATTAATTTATAAACTATATTACATATTGATGCGAATGATATTATATTGTACACACAGACACTCATTGTATAGAGAATATTATTGTATCAATAAAGTGTTAAATGGTTACAAAAAAATCTACAATAAGCATGTTTTTTTCAAATATAATTTATTTTCATATATTACGTAGAAAAGCTTTATTATAAAGTGCAATGTATGTAGATTTCCCATAGACAGGTACGCAATACTGTACAGCTACATTGATGCAGCTCGATACTTTGAAGGCACCGTACAACATGTATTGTTGTGTTATAGAAAAACATTATATTTTGCTACGTAGAGGTACCAAATAACGTTAAACACTGAAATATTTTGATAATCAATTGTATACCTAACAATCCTTTATTTATTTATTTATTTATTTTTTATTTATTTTTTTTTTGAGAAAATTTCATCTCACGAATTCAAGACGGGATATTGGAATGTTAGTAACTTGATTTTATTTAGAAAAACTTTTTTTTCTCAAAATAATCGTTACATATGAAGAATGTGGTATCTTCAAAATAAAATGTCATCTAAAAATATTTTTTTTATTTTATTTCAGATAAAAAAAATGAAAAGAAACGAAAATGATATTTCATATCAAACTGAGCGAGATGATAATTATTTTACTCTACCAAAATGGTTTTGGTATGTAAAACTAGTCTCTTTAAGTTAAAGTTCTCATTGTTTTCACACTATAAAAATTTGTTGTGGCGAATCTTTAAACTATAATGAACTGGCACCGTGTTTGAGGTTCTGATCGACCAAACAATATTTCCTTTTGTGCGCGTTATCACTAAGCAAAACAATGTCTGTTATTTCACAGACACAATAAGCGATTTTTCGACTAGTATTATTAAGATTTGTTGTGAGCAATGAACGATGTGCTTGCCTCTCGATATTTCCGTGTGAGGCTTTCTTATTTCAAAGATTCTCATTCATACATTAAGTATTAGTGAAGACTGTAATGTTTGTATCTTGGCCACTTTCACTCCGTGAAAAAGGGGTCACAACTTGCATGTTAACCGACACAATAAGAGGATATGTTAATTCTTTATCCAGACACATTACTTGCTTCTGAAATAGAGTCAAAATTATAAATTTTATTATTTATCTCAAACAAGTATAATTAAAAATTTAGATGTAAATAAAAAGTAAGTAACTTGAAAAAGTAACTTACATCTTCACTTTTATGAAGTGATAATCTAATTTGTCCTGAAGTTTGTAAGTTTTTAATTTGCCGTTGCTCATTTAATGATATCAGATTCACTCTAGGAACATAAAAAAGTGCGTTAACGATTTGTTGATTCTTAAGTTATTTCAAACAAGAAAAACTTACTTTAATATAATACTATGTTTACTATGATTAGCTTTTATATGCTCTGAATCGATACCTATGTGTCTTTTAAACCTCAATGACGTCAGATCTAAGGTAACTACAATGTCTAGTCCAAAGTGAAAAGCAGTCCATCTCCACACATGTTCTCCAGGTCTATCAATACACCTTGCACAGCGGAAACATTCTTTAGCGAAATCTTCTTTACTCAGTTCTTTAGGTCTGTAATTTGTAATAACAATAACATTATCAACTACATCAATTTTCAACACTGTAAAATAAATTAGGAATACCTAAGGACAAGAACACGTTTAAATAGACAGAGACGAACTGATGGAATTTGATTCAGGAATCTAGGATAGATTGAGGAAGTTAGATTTCTTATATAAAAATCTAAGGATAATGTTGCTTACCCTGTGTCTTTGTTTGCATCTATTCTTAAAATATGTAGCCATTGTTCTTTGTAAGATTGATATAACCAGTCTTCAGGTATTATATTATCATCCTGCAAAATTTTAATGTCTTGCACATTCATCAACAGGTACTTTTTCCGAAGAGATTTGAATGGTGCTGCAAGTTCTTGGCCTTCCTTTGTGTTAAGAAAAGCTTCAGTCCAAGTACGATTTTTGAAAAATTCTTCCATTTGGCTAGTATCATCTGCATTTTGCATATGTACGAATAGCCTAAAAAAATGCTAACTATCGGTATGTTTTCAAACAAAGATGTAACAATTTATGTATAATATACTCACCAAACTCTAAGCATCATGTAAATGCAAAATTCTGTTTGCATAACCACTAGTTCTGGACTTGCAATAAGCTCTGCCATTAAGCATGGGCTAATCTCTCTTAAGAATTTTGGATGTTGCCAGCCATGATCCATTAAATTTATCTCTAGCCATTTTTTACAAGTATTCTTCACTTTTGGCACTCCATAGGATACTGCTGCATTATAGTATGAAACTACAGTCTTCATATTTGTGGTTTCAGCCATTGTTTCTGTACATTGATCTATGATGCCTTGTAGTTGGAACAAGGTTGCAGTTGCAAGAATTGAAATGACATCCTTTGGTTCAAAGTTAATTTCATCTTGATAGAAGGAACCAAGTACTACAGTTAAAGCTACGAAAAAGAAAATTAATAATTATATTTCCAAATGAAGATGAACTTAATTGGATATGTCTTGTAATTTTTTTCTAATCTAATATTAATTGGATTTGAAAGACACACACACACACATACGCGCGCGCCCATATGCATGCTCGCACACGCACCACGCACACACACGCACGCACGCACGCACGCACACATATATACACACAAATATATATCTTTATAGACAGACAATTACTAAATCTTCTATTAGTGAAATTCAAATGCAAATGATCTAAATTAAATTGAATCAAACTATATTTTATACTGGACATTTAAATTCATTTACAGAACTCCAAGACATGCCTTCTAGAGACTATGCACTTAAGGCAAAACAATTTTAGAAGTCACTGCCATGGAGGAAATGTAGAATCCTTAATATAGAAATTTAGGTCAATGATAGCTAAACCCAGGCTTCACAAGCTTTCACTTTTTATTTCAAGAGTCTTAACATGTCTGTGATTCTATATAAAGAGGAGAGTATTGTACAAACTAGGAAAACAAAATGAACAATCTTACACTCTAGTGTAATGATGGGGTCTGTGATTTCCACACGCACTACCTTTTCATTTGCCTCACGCCAGGAACCAGAAAACATAGATGAGAAGTAAGGGCTCTAAAAAATGATCATTTCAATGATTATTAATGCAAGTGAAATTACTAGAATAACATTACTTTCATAAAAAAATTAATTTTTGAATACATTTGAAACATTGACAAAGGTAAAATACTTTAAAATTGTAAAAAATTATTTTCCAAACAAAGAATTAAATTTGTCATAATCACACAAAAGCAATGTGAATCAGATAAGTTCTCTAATCTGTAAACACTATCTTTAAAGTCAATTTGCTACAATAATTTTGTAACTAGAAATAATACACTTTTTACAGATAAAACTGATTTTAACATTCGGTTTAAATAAAAAATTTGATATGCTTTAAAGAGAAATATCGCGACGTTTGACTAGCACCATACAGGCGATAATTACTTGGCTTATGTAAACTTTGTGCAGCCTCCAGGGCTTGCCAAGCATCAGCACTGTAATGTCGCTGGCTTTCTCCTCAAGGAACAATGTCTTGTAGATGTACTGAGCAGTAGACAATAATTTTCTTCTGCAAGAAAAAAAGAGCGACAACTATAAGTATAGATAAACGTGCGAATTGAGTATGGTGTCATACATAAAACTTAAAAATAGCAGCAGACGTCGCATGCGAGTACGAGAGTATGCGCCTCTAAACACGATCACGGAAAGCAGATTCTCAGGATGGTGATGTCATCGCTGCAAATGCCGTCTGGTTACCTCAGTAGCAGTATAACTTTCCGTTCAAAAGTTTTACCAAATAAAACCACGCAGTAACCCTTTTATCTTACTTTTTACAATTGTATTCAAGCACACATCGCGCGCGTCAAGTACCAAACAGGGTCATGAAAGCTATATTTTTAGATATCATTAATTCGTATAGATACCTTTTGGGTGTGTGCATAGTTTTCTCGATGAACCTACTCTCGGACTCGAACTCATCTTCCTCAATAATTTTTCGTTTCCTCGTTCGACACACTGAATTCACAGCACTATTTGACGCTGTCAACACTCTACTCATATAGCTACCCATTTTTTCAAGTGATTAGGTACAACACCAGCGATGAAACAAGAAAAAAACGCGGCGCCGCAAGAACAGAAAGAAGGAAAACGTGGTTAGACAATGCAACTCATTGTCGCCACGATAAAGGGAAACGCGGCCCCAACTAACAGTAGCACCGAAACGTAAACATTCCCGTCTATGCACTGCTTATACGCGACACGAGAGGCAGAGTGCGAGCAAAGGCACTTCTCCCCCCGATATATTAAAACTAACCCTGTCTTTGTTGTTCTCTTCTCAAAAGCTGTTTTCTCTCTTTTTCTCCCACCATACCGTACCATCAGCGCCCAGCAGCTGTTTTTCCTATTTCTTTCTCGCTCTTATCTTCATACGCCTCCCAAATGGTGAATTTGTTGTCTCGCTTTCGCTCTTTTGCGAGGGCATTGAGTGCGCATGCGCACGCATCCTTGCCTACATCAGGGACGGACTATGTTTTACGGAATCCGTATAGTTTACATTTTAGAGTGGTGAAAATTGTAATATGGTATTAACTTTTGTTTGGCTGATAAAATTTCAAAACAAGCGTGGTAATTAAATATTGGTTTTCAGTGTTTCTGTTGATTGGAAAAGGACGGAACAATTATACGATTTTGTTTGAACGAATTTTCGGGGCGATCTATTTCTCACTATACGACAGTGTGAAACGGTGTCAAAGATGGAACCGCATCGTGCTGGTAGAAAGTTATCTAAACAGTTTTAGGGTTCGGTAATGTAGAATTTATCGATCAAATATAGTTTTACAAGAAAGGGAAGACTTATTGACACGGCGAGTGTAATTTTTATACATTTTGACGTACCTTTCTTCAAAAAACCAACATAAAATCAATTGTACACAACTAAATTAACCAACTGGTATGTAATATTTTATTACATTTATTCAATGAATCTTATATTTGTAATGTCCGTGGGATATAGTAGTGTAATAGCTGTATGTCTTTTATATTGATTTCAGCCGTTCAAATTGCAATGATACGAAGCATTCGAAGTAATAACGTTTAAGGTTATAAGTCTTGGATTCTTTGATAAGCGGTACATACGAGAAATAAGAAATACCGCTAACAGTATTTTTACAATATCTTAGCGAAGATGAAAGTTAATCCTAGAGTGTTTTTTGACATTGAAGTCGGTGGATTACCTATAGGACGTATTGTATTTGAACTTTACGCCGATGTTTGCCCAAAAACGGCCGAAAATTTTAGAGCATTATGCACAGGAGAGATGGGTCTTGGATTATCAACAAACAAACCATTGTGCTATAAGGGAATAGTGTTCCACAGGGTTGTGAAAAATTTTATGATTCAAGGAGGAGATTTCTCCAATGGAAATGGCACTGGTGGAGAATCAATTTATGGTGGTACTTTTAAAGATGAAAATTTTACTTACAAGCATGAGAAGGCATTTTTACTTTCTATGGCTAATCGAGGCAAGGATACAAATGGTTCACAATTTTTTGTTACAACTCAACCTGCACCTCATCTTGACAATACTCATGTAATTTTTGGTGAAGTCATATCTGGTCAAGAAATTGTTAGTCATATTGAGAATCTTCCAGTGGATAAAATGTCAAGACCTTTGCAAGATGCAAAAGTTGTTAATTGCGGTGAACTTGTGTTAAAGTCTAAAAATAAAGCAAAGAAGAAAGAAAAACGTAAAAACAGTGTATCTAGTTCAGATAGTGACTCTGATAAAGGTAAAAAAAAGAAATCAAAAAAAAAGAAGTGGACTGAATCTGAAAATAACAAAGTGTCAGAGCCTCCTAAAAAGACTAAAACTGATGAGATACCTCATCCACTTGTTTCAACAACTAAAATTGATCCAGATGAAATACCTGAAGTACCAGCAAATAAATTTCTATACAGGGCAGGTCCTCCAAATGCTAATCAGCGGCAATACAATCAAGAGCGTCGCCAAACTTTCAGAAAAGATCCAGCTGGTAGAATTTTTAAGGGTAGAGGAATCTGTAGATATCGTTCGCTGTCGCGAAGTCGTTCAAGAAGTTTGACACCTCCTCATTGGAAACAAGCACAAAAAAGGATTATCAAATATCCTTCTTTTTCAAAAGTTGAGCAAGACAATGATGCTAGGCTTCAAAAAGTTATGGGTAGTGAATTTAATGAAATTGATTCACAGCAAAATGGAAACGTGAAAGAGACAAATCAAAAAGAATCAGAAAAAGAAAATTCATTGAAGAAAGAACAGATACAGACATCACAGAGCAATTCAAGCAATTCAAAAACTACCAAACGTGATGATAAAGATGACAAATATCAATCTTCTCGAAGAAGAGATAGACGTTCATCTGAACGTGACAATAGTTCTAGAAGTAGATATCATTCTAAACATAGTCGTTATCACAAATCACCTAGTCGTGATGATTATCACAGGAAGCATCGCAGATATTCACCACATGAATCGTCATCCCGTTCCAGAAAATCATCACGTCGATCAGATTAATTGATCTGCACAACAAATTTGGATGATATAATTAGGAATAGAATTTGTATTGTGCAAAATATTGTAATAAAAAATTATATGTTAATTTTTTATTTATGTATAAACTCATTTTTGGAAAATACAAAAAAATTGTTTCATATTCAATATCAGATGGTTTTTGATGAGCAAATTTATGTTCAGAATGTAGGTTTTTATTATAGTTTCAAATGTTTTGTAGTATTAAAGTACTTAATGTAAAAATGCTCTTTATTTTTTTCGTCTTTGAAATTTTATATAGTTATAAAAATTAATTACTTTTTTTATTTATTATAAAATTTCACAAAAGTGCGTTGAAACAATTTCATCTTTGTAATAGTGTGGTGTACGCATGCGCAACGTACTTTGAGCAGTAAATATACAAACACATGATTATGTAAAGACCTTAAATGTATGAATGTGTATGTGTGTAAGTGAATATCAGTGAACACCTTGGCTAAATTGCTCTGAATTTCAGTCCCATAGTTGTACAATTATGTATTGAAAATTGTATTGAAATAAACGAGATTTTTTAAATAATTATCTATTTTGTGTGCTCTTGTTTATTTACGATTGTCGGATATACCTAGCAATACTTGAGCAAGAAAGATGGGTTTATTAAGGTTAGTATCTAATTATTAACGAACACGTTTTTAAGAATTGGAAATGTTTTGTATTAAAAATATTTTCTACGTAAGATTACCTTAGAAGATTCTATTTTTGATATAAATTATTTTTGATCAAATCATATATATTGATATTGTGCACTATTCATCATATATATTGATATTGTACACAGTTGAACTAAAATATTCGTGCAATGAAATTATATTTTTAATTTAGGTTTGCTATCAAAAGCAGTATAGCAGGAGGGTTGGTTTATTATACTGTCCAAGAAGGTCTGTGGTCTAGTTCTGAAGATTCAGGGAAATTTTACAACAAATTGTATAATAAGATTAGCCCATTGATCAAGAAAAATATACCTGAAGATGTAATACAAGAAGTGAGCACCATATATTTTACTGTTATACTATAGATAACTTTAATATTTGCTAGGTCATTATATTTCAAAATCGTCGCTTATACTTTGCAGATACATCACATACCAAATCCTTCAGATCTTAAAACATATACTACTTTATATTGGAATAAAGGAGTTGTAATTAGTATTAAGTTCCTGTCTGAATTACCTTTACATGTGTCAAATGGTATTGAAAAAATTCAAAAAGAAATAGAAAAAAATATTGCAGCTAGTGGTGAATCAGTAGCAATAACTGTAACTAAATAAATATATAATTACTTTTTATTTATTCTTAGAACAAGTTTATGTGAAAGAATGACATAGTTTGTTTATAATCATGTGATGCAAGTGTTATGTTTAAAAGTTTTTGAAGAATCATCATTGAATAAAACTTGAACCATTGTTATTTAACTTAAATAAAAAGTATATTTATTGCAAAGAGTTAAGTCCTTGAAATAAACAATAAATACTATATGTCAGTGACATATAATTAATATTAGGTTGAAAGGTAATATTTAACAGTGCAATAAAACTCACTTAAACTATTATTATTTTCTTTTATTCATATTAAAAAAAAGAATATTTTTAAAAAAGCTTCTTATACAGCAATTTACATGAGTCAATTATACGCATTCCAACAATCACTGAAAACTTCAAGTTCTCTTGAAGTTTTGTTATAATTAAATAAATTATAATTATTTCACTTTTCATACAAAGCTTGTAATACATCTTTTTACATATTATATATTGGTTATAGAATTTGATACATCAAAGATCAAATTCTTCACAATAAGCGAATCTTTATTTATGAGGCGTTGACTACGTCCATAATTTTTTTAATCTATGTTATTAACAATACCTTTCAATAATATTCATCTATTCAATATTTGTTGTAATTTTTCTTTCATGATAACACTACTTTAAGGAAGTAATTTTATTTAAAAAAGTTCAATAGAAAAAAAGAGCGTTTGATAATATTAACAAATAGTCTCGATTTTCGAGCTTTCGAAAATTTTAGCGCGACATTTATCTTAGCGGAACCGAAGACATCGAGGTCATTGACGTTAACGATGATGGTCCTGAACTAAGATTAAGCTTATCCAATTCCTCGTCAGCTTTATTATTCTTAAAGTCTTGCTGACAGTACAAGAACTTGTTCCATTCATCCATTCTTGGGTGTGCCAAATGCTAAAATTTACCGAATCAATTATAATTTTATTCTTCAATAGATAAATCTAATTGCTTTTTTATACAAACCTCAGCAACGTCGTACACCCAAATCTTTCCACTATCATCTCCTACAGTAAGATGCAACCCGCTGGGCGTCCACGAGATCCGATTGAGAGCAGGGCACCCATCAACGACGACACTGGCGGTAGGTACCTCGGTGTCCTGGTTCAAATTCCATAAATCTAGTCTACCAGAATCATCAACTGCAGCAAACACTGCCGGATGGGTTGGCGACCAGGCCACATCGTAAACGTAATCACTGTTGTGCTCGAATGAATAGAGGGGTTTGTTCTCCTTCAAACTCCATAATTTAATAGTCCAGTCAAGAGACGAACTAAGAAATAGATGTGAAAAGTCAATACCGCCGGGTACTGCGTGCGTATCCAAACCCGTTATAGGACCCATGTGGCAATCATAAGTTTCTGTCACACCTGCCCTTGTGCCATGCCGACAGGCTGAAAAGAAAAATAGAATCAACATAGGCTTTAACACGTTTCACTTTGATTAAATAATGAAACGAATCGAAAATAATTACCTGAGTATATGGCCCCATCTTCACTACCAACTACAAAATTATTTACATCACCGCTTGGGAAAGCGAGCTGAGTGACTGCTATCTGCTTTGATTGTTTATTCTGTAATTCTAAAGTTTCCTGAGGCTGCGACAACATATCCAAACTCCAGGAACATAATTTTCCGTCTGTAGATATGCTAATCAAGTTGTGGGCATTTTGCGTGCCCACCACTTTTAAGCAATACACTGGATGCTGAAATATGACAATGAATGAAGATTACAGTTTGAACAATTCTGCGCATCTAATGAAATCGTAAGCTATAGCACCAACAGTGTGCGCAGCTGCGGACAAAGGTGTGCGCTGAATAGGTGTCCTCTTCTGTACCCGATTGTCCCAAAGAACGACCTGACCCGAATAAGTACCACCAAGAATGAGATTCGGATGAAACCTAGCGAAAGTGGTGGACATGACTGAAGATTGACAGTGAAAGATGAACTCAGGCGTGGTTTTCTTGAATTTAGTGTTCCAAACGAGACATACGCCGTCTGGATCGTGAGGTGTATCCTCGTTGTTGTTGTAAGAAGCGACCAGTAACTCTGGGAATTGTGGCGACCAATCCATTGCCGTGACACAACGATTGCGCGACCAGCGCTCGTCGTTGAACACACGGTTTAGCCACAAGCACTGATGAGTCTTGTCGTCCCTGCAATTGAACGAACGAAATATTGATAGTACTCCCATTGATTTTATTCAATCTGTAATCTTCACTTACAAGCCATCATCTCCGTCCATTGTTCCGGTGTAATCCGTGTAAATGTCGACATTTTCGGAAAGTGCACGTTCCACGACCCTTGAGGTTTTATCCATGAAACGTTTGAACTCCTCTGACAGGATGATCATCTGCTTTTCTTCTTCACTCAATTCTCTCACTGTTCGACACATATAAATGAAGTTACTTGAATGAAAGAAACAACTGAGAATAAACAGAAAAGTTTTGAAATTCACAGACCTTCCTTGGGTTGTTCTTTCTCTTTCTCCTTTTCCTCTTGAGTGACCGCTGGCAGAACTTCTTTGACTTGAGGAAGCCCATGGGGTAAGATTCCAGGTGGCAGTTTGCTCTGGAAACCATCAAGATGTGGCAGGCTGTTCTCCTCGTCCTCGGCTTGGCCATCATCATATGTCAAAACTGTGGTGAATAAGCCGGTCCCACGCACACAACAAACGATCTACTTCTAACCCTAACTAGTCTAAATATCATTCTTTTCTGCTTTCTTTGATACACAGTAACTCATTTAGATAATCTATGGATTGCATACCGATGCATTACATTAAAGAAATAATAATTATTGTAATAACGAAAACAAAGTTGTAAGAAACTACGACGACTTTATCATTGATACACCAAAAGGGTCTACAAGGGGTATGGCATACGTGCTTTATGCACTATATAGCTTGTCTGATTGGAATTTCATTTTAGTTACGCATAAGTGCTTGGGGAACAGCGACGTGCATAACTTGCGAGTCATTTTCAGTTGAAGAAAGTCAAGCGATATTGCAACGATCAAAAGATAAAAATAAGGCTCAAAAGCTTTTTTCTTGACATTCTTGAAAGTTAAATTGTTTGCTTACTTTCAACGATTCGTAAGATAAATTTTTAGCGACGAAAATGCAGTCGTAACACAGGGTTCTCAAGAATTTAGCGCGGGCTACATATTGTAGAAAACAGCGAACAGTTAATCATGCTCTGACGACAATCAAAGAGCTTCGATCAATTTACTTCAAACGATGCAAGCTCGTGAAAAATAAAAAAAAAACATAAAAAATAAATAAAGGACATTTCGAAAGAAAACAAATATTATGATCGCTCAGTGAAACCGAACAATGAAGCATGAGGTGACGGTAATAAGAAAAAGAAATGTAGGGATGTTAACGCAGCTTCCTGAGTCTCGTGACGTATAGTGGAAGTGGCAAACTGATGTGAAAAAGATTAACATGTTCACGACTATTTATATTATAGGATTGTTTAAGTGCAGGAAGTGCATGCTACTCCAAAACTGGTTGTGTCGTAAAAGAGTGTATATGAAATAAGGAAATAAGTATTTGATATAATAAATGATGGATAGATGGAGAAAACATGATTTCAAAGAATTGTTTCCTTTGGATTTTCAGGCATGCATAAATGGAAGAAATAAATCACAATATTGAGAATAAATATTGTGAATGAATAGACAGCTTTCAAATGACGTTGGATAGCAAGAAAAAGAAATACAAATTGTCTACTATTTCGAGATAATTAATTATTATCAAATCAAATCACAAGCACAACATGCGTTGATAGTTCAGTTTTATTAAAAATAATATAAAGCTTTTCAACCTTAATTTAGAAAAGCAAAATCTAAACCATAAAAGCACAAGCGAAAATAGATATATATATATATTTTTTTAATCTTATCTAATATTTTGCAGTATTCCGAAATCGTTAACGATCCTATTTACAATTTCTAATAAACACATGCCCTTATGTGTACTCAGGGTAATCTTTTTGAATATTAAATTTATAAATGTAGCAAAAGTGTTTACGATTTTTTTCTTGAAAAATGGATGTCGCTCAAGCGTAGGTCATTATTTTTATTTTTTTGTTTAGTATTGCGCCAATTAATTTAGTTTTGAAATCATACTTTTTAATTTAACGATGCTGAATGAATGAGTCTAGTTCGGTAATTAATCATTTACAGTTACAATGACAATGAATGAATTCAAGAGGAAAAAATCAAATGATACGTAATAATCAAACACGTATATACATAGACGATATTTAGTAACTAAACAAATCAACAAATCAACAAATCAGGAATATCTAATAGCAATACACGACACAATGACTCAACATTAATATGTCGAGTTTCTTAGAGATTCACCTACCTGTGAACTCGTCCTCCCACTCTAAACCTGGGTTTAGATTGTACTCGTCTTGAAGAAAGGAAAAGAAAAAAGTCAATCAATTCGAAATCGTAATGTTTCATTGAAAGAAAAGTCCTAATCTGTTTCAAAATACTATCGATGTTTCGTTTATTTGTCATTGAAGAAAGTTAAATTTCTTTTTCAATCACAATAAAGACTATAATTTACTATCAGAACTGTACGTTTTGATTTTATATTAAAATAAAATTTTATTGTGCAAAATGTTCAAATACATCGATATTACGCTGAAAAGATAGGAAGATTAGTTTATCGTTAAGGGATGTCAGAAAACAAATTTTAATCGAGTATGTGTCACCAACTTGTAGAGTGAGTATTTAGTATCTTATATTACTACAATTTTTATATTTGCAAAATAAATATTTTACTAAAACTCCCATTAAAATATGTTTAAGTTTCAATTAAAATAAATATTGAATATCAAAAAGATACCCTACAAGTATGTGACACACGTACCGATTTGAACCCGCAGAACACATATTGGCATGCAAAAACATTTTTTATAGTTTAAAGCACATTATATACGTCATGGACTCCCACTCTCCTTTTTTAATAATTAATCGTTCACAGTTTGAAAAGTAAACAAATATAAACATCTTTCTTGTGATAACAGTGTGAAAACTGCTGGTAGTTGTGAAAAATAATTGATCAATATTACTTTAAACTATGTATTCGAAAAAGTTTTCGTGTTTTTACTTGTAAATGATAAATTAAATGGTTAAAGTTCAAAAAACTGAAACTTTTAAGATAACGGGGACAAGTAATGTTGATCTAAGGATCTACTAATAATTTATTCTTATTAAGAGTATGTCCTCATTAGTTTTGTTTTTAGTTGAAGTTTGAAAATTGGTAAATTTTCAACCCACGAGGCCACAAAGTACTTTGTTGATGTTAATTATTTGAGAAGTCTGTACTTTTTGACCTCGTTTCGTGAAATTGTGGCCAATACAATTGCAGACAGTAAATTACTCTATGAACAGAATTTTTAGTAAAAACCAACACCTAATGTTTGCCCCTTATTCTGAGTTAGTACAAGTATTCTCACCATGACGGTTAGCTTTCCATACACGATAGTCTATATCAATGACTCTATGTAAGTTGACGTAAGAAAAGTTGAGTACTCTGGAAGGTGCGTTAAGTAGTGACAAGAGTTACTTTTAACGGACATTTCCTACAATAATATGCTTAATTTATATTTTTCGTTTACCTTATTGTAGTTTCAATTTAGAGCACCTTATAATTATTCTTTTCAAATATTGAATGCAAACAATATATCTATAATAAATTTATTCATGAGATCTTTTGAACGTTTTAACTAATGCTTGTGGCTGTGTAATCGAAATTATCGTTTGTACTTGCAAAATATTATTTACTATTTAATAAAATAATTTACGTGCACGAATAGTTTTCAATGATCTATAGAGCACAAGGTTAATTGAACTCTTCCGCATTATGAAATTAGCAATTTATTGGTATTCCGTACGTTTCCTCTCGCTTTTTAAGCTATTCTACTCGTATGTTTTATTAATTCTTTCAATATTTCACCTTCAATTTACTCGTCTGTCTTAATTGTTTAACATAAAAATTTCTGATAAATCATACATTGGTTTTTTTTCTCAAAATTGAAAAATAAAAAATAAGAATCTAGTATTTATCTAATCAAAACTATTATAACTGACAGAAAAACAAGAAAAATATGTAACTTACCGTAATAGTCGAATGTATGAGCTGAGAGGGACAAGCAAAAATTGAATAGGATTAGAATTTTTTTTATTAACACGTTACTAAATCAATAATGTCTATATTCAATGCTTCTCATTACTGATTATCAAACGATCAATTCAATTTTATGAATGCAATTTCAAATTGAATTGAAAGCTTTATTAATCAAAAATCTGTCTTTAAATAGTTGTAGAAATTGTTTAAAATACGCATTGAACACAGACTAATACAAAAAAGTGCAGCTTCTTTTTGTTGCTTACTGTGCTGGGATAAAATCAGCGCTTCGGAGGAAACGTACATATTCAATTTCATAATTTCCTACTTATTGTTCCTATGATATAATTGAAAAAATTATAGTTCAATCCTATAAATGATTCCTCCGAAATTCGAATTCCAGTTTGTTCTTTACTTAATAATAGTTAATAACAATAGTGAATTGAGAGCTGTTTCGCTGCTATTGTTTGACTGTCATGCTATACCATAACAGCAAAATTATTGCACATGCATCGGCGCTAACATTTCAGTTTCTTTGATTAATTTTTGCCATCGGTTTTTCTGATTGTTATTATTCTATTTTAATTTTTGCATGTTAAACTGGATTACATTTCTTCTATTCGGAGTTTTTACAAGCAAGCTACAATTTTTCCACTCAAATTCCAACCTTACTGTTCTAAATGAACAATTGTATTTAATATATTCACAGTCAGTTATTATTTTAGTCTTTTGACTTTGTTTATTCATTGTAATGATTGTGAACCCGTAAAATAAAATTTTTAGCACATGCGCGGAAATATTACCTTGTCACACTTATACCCACCCCCCTAAGTTACTCCAGCATTCAAGTGCCATTTTCATAAACATCATTAAACACGTTTACGAAAATCAGTTTCGCACCGTTGTTCATTAGACGCTAAATTGACTTAGCGAGGTGAGTACGTTTTAATTGATATAATTATTATTTTCAATTCCATTCAACCATCAGGTCCATCGTTTTAAAACATGTGTGACGATTATACTATGAATTATTTGTAGGTGAAATATTGCTGTGATAAAAATAAAATTGATAACAATTGAAGCATTAATGAGAGCGAGAAAAATTTTTTATATTGTTTTCGTCAACAGAATAAGCATTAAAACGAAAAAATAAAAACAAAGTATAAAAAGCATTTAATAAAAATGGAAGCATTTTTAATCACCAGCATCAAATTGAAAATACACAAGGCGGTAAATCAAAGACAACGTATTTTATTAATGTTGCTACTATAATAAATGTTGCATTGAAAATTAATGAAATGATTGTCTTTAGATATTTGATCTTACATTGTGCTATAAATATCGACAATGAAAGTATCTTTGTTATCGCACCCTATTTTTCTTTGTTATTGTAAAAACAGTTTTAATGTTAGTATAAATATAACTATCACTCGTTTGTTAGAAACTCAAATTTAAGCTGTTATTTGATCCCTTTTACAGTAAAGACGAGCGACAAAAATGTTCCCTTTATTTCAAAGACTTTTTTCCCAAGTTAGAAATAATTTGATATAATTAAAAATGAAATAGAGAAAATTTTAGTCGCCTTGGTATTAGAAATAAGATGCGATAAAGTAATATTACAAATCTACTACCATTGATAACCACATATACGGTTAAAAAATCTTAGGATAACAAAGTGAAAAGAAGACGAAACATACATAGGTAGTTAGGTGCAGACCCACCTTTCCTGGGACGCCACCAGTCGGTCTCAAAGTAGCCTGCGGAGCAAGAATGAGTTGGTGTTGTTGTTGAACAGGAAGAGTTTGTGGAAGAGGAGGCGGATAGTCCTTTTTATTGTCCAACACCCACAGTCGCATTTTGAGCGTCATTTGTTATCGCAAGTCAAAGGGAAGAGACGCGTAGACACATTTTAATAATTAAGATTAAAACCACAACCGAGGAGACAAGGATTTCCCCCTTTTTCAACTATTACAGGGCTTAATTTTGGAAGATTTCTCTCGTCGGAACCCGAAGTTACCTATTGACTTGGCAAAAAATTTATAATATACTTTTTATCATCATGGTTATCATCTTAAATTAAATAAATTTTTTACAAGTCAACAGTGAGTTTTAGTAGGAGTAATGCGATTATGTAATTGTTAGGAAACTGTGTAGGTGGAGTACACACATTACTGTGATAGAATCAATTTTGTAATTTCAAATATAAATGACAGTTTTAGAGAGAAGACAATATTGATTCAATCACAAATAAAATTGATGGGATTTTGACAGATAAAATTGCCGTGAAAAAGTGTTCAGACTTAATATTGTGCTGATCCCTCTGCCATTTCCTTTTCCGATTCTCACCATCATAAACGTGCGTGTTATACGTGATTGTTATTCAAATCACTTGGTTACCCTTGTTAATTGCTATTTACCTCGAAACCAAAAAACTGCAACGAATCATTGACAATGCAAAACATCTTTTGACTGTGTGTAATTATTGAGTGACAAGTATAAATTATAATTTATATTGTATCGTGGTGAGTAATTTATCTAATTATCTTTACAAAAAGAACAAATTTTCATGATTAAATTCAGATTTAGTAGGAAAATTTTTAGTTGTTTAATAAGTATTTGATATTTAATAATTACAAACAATTACAACGTAAGTTAATTTATCTAATAATACACTTTAAACAACAAAAAATTGCCGGTCAAACATACAAAAATATAAAATATAAGAAAAAATTGTTCTAGCAAAATTCAAAACAAACTAAATTTAGCCAAAATAAAAAGCTTTTAAACGACAAAATATATAAAATCAATACATCTACTTCATTTTATTCATTAATGATGAATTATAACTATAAGTTATACTTGTACTACAATGATGAAATTTTTAATGAAACTGAAGAAAATATATCATGTTGTTTTACCGAGTATCGATGAATCAATAAGTTTAGTTTTTCAGAAACTTTTATATTATTAGATGTCCTGTTATTGTTTCTGGATGAATGGATTTTATGAATGGGTGTAGTTTAAAAATTAGCGTTTTTGTCTCCGCCGAAATTATCTGAGTAGTTTTTAAAATATTTAGGGATACACTCAATTTTAGTACAACAAATAATTATTTTATAAACATGTGCAATTATGAGGTCAATGATTGCAAATAATTAATGCAGTATTTTTAAATACCTACTCAAGATCTATTCAAATGTAATTTATTTTTCGAATTGTATCCACTACATTAATTTTTTGCGGCTTTGAGAGTTACCTGTGTGTGAATATGTAAGTTTCCTCGCCAATAAATAGTAATAATAATAAAATTAACGGTAAAAATAAAATATATGAAATGATTAGCATTGTGATTGTTTTGTTTAAAGACAAGTAATTTAAATGTATTAAAATAACTCAATTACTAATCATTTTCACAATCCAACAGTTGAAAAGGGAAAAAATTTTATTTTATTTTCATTAGTTGGATCATAAGAAAATATATGGAAAAAAGTAAAAACTTCCTTCAATTAAAAATTATGTTAAATATGTTGATGACCTCTTAATTAATTTTAATTACAAAATTTTGTTTGTTAGATCTCAATAATTTATTATTGTGAATTTTAGAGTCGTTAAACACATAAAATTATGTTCACATTTAGAAAGTTCAAATTAATTTAATTTTGATGTCAGTTATATCATAATTAGAATCACAGAAATTAATTTTGAAATGGGAAGTTAGATACATGGGTTACAGTAATCTCGACATATCGCACTCCTCTTGATCATCAATGTCAAGATGTAAATGTAAAGTGTAAAAAGTGACAATAATATTGAAAATCATATAGAAATTTCAAGTTAGAATACTCACCATCATGGGAAGCATGAACTACTGCTGCTGCTGTTTGCGTTTGCTTCGTATAAACGACTGGTTCTTTTGGTGGAATGTTCGTGCGCGCTACCGAAACTATCGTAAGCTCACGATTCTTCTTTTTCGGTGCACTGCTCAATGGATTACAAAATTAATATCTCGATTGTCAAATCTAATATATCAGTATATTCAATAAACAATTATTTTTTCAGATTATCATTAACAAAAGCTTTTTTTTGTTTACTTTTATGATTTGATCTTTCTTATATTTAATGCTTGCTATTTTATTTTAATAATTTGAATTTTACCTTTGAGCAGAATTAATACTATTTGGCTGTAAGCTAGTGTCAGGAGTTGCTGTTACACTTTGATCTGGAGTAGCTGTAGAGTTTACACTAGATATACTCGATAGTACTTCTAAGGAGGCCAAAACAAAAATGATATGACTTATAGTTTCATGTATTAAAAACATCCAAATACACTCTATTTTTACTCACCTGAAACTGGTGCAATACCCAGTGATGATAAAAGTGCATCAGTTTCTTTTAATGGATCTTCTTTTTGGTTTATTGCCCGCTTATGTGCTTCTTCAATCTATTTAGGCATTTTTTATGTACATTATTACAACAGTATTTTATTTCTTTTTAGTACAATTGCTATAACAGGGTCTTATTCCATTATGTGATAACAAGGTTTTACATTAACTTACATCTTTTTGTTCCTTTTCTCTTCTTCTCCTTTCTTTTTCTTCTCTAATCGCTTGAAGTTTAGCTTTCTTTCTTTCAAGCTCTGCTTTCCGATCTCCCATCATGCCTTCTGAATTTAAATATTCAATAAGCTTTTTAATATTGATTTGATTGAAAAAAAGTATTACAAGTCAATACCATAACTAAGATAAATAAGTACGACAATTCAATTTGAAAAAACTATTTAGAACCATAGTTATATCATAAGAACTTTTTTCCGAATAATAAATTTGATTCTTTGCAAAAAGAATTGTACAGTTGATGAATAGGCAAATGAAAGAGGGAGAGTCCTAATGAATAATCAAAGTCGCAACATCACAAAGATGATTCATACAGCAGATATCAGAAGATATAAAAAAACCATTGGTCACCTGTCCCGCCTGCGTCTTTCTCTATTTCTTACGTTATACATATACGATTATTGATTTTAGGTGGTGGCTTTGTAAGTTTTACAATAAATCACTGCAAAAGTTAGATTTGCTCAAGTAAATCACAAATGCGACTACCAAAGGTCTTTAAAAATAGCACTAGCGAGTATCCACCGAAAGCCAAAAGACTTGTCAATCGATAATACGTGCGAATCCACCTACACCTACTTACACATCTGCAATCATTGGACTCTTTCTCTCTTTCCTTCGCGGCACACAAAAGAAAAACCACTTTTACAATCGAACACGCATGCACTATGATCACTGGCAAACTTGCACACCTATTTTGATGAAGTTTGACAGATGTAATCTAACAATCTGGACTTTCTATAAGTAGAAAGGGCCACCCACCTTCCCGTACTTGATCAGCTTCCTAGTACCTATATCTAAGAGAGATAACGTTCTTGACTGAAGAACGCGTTTATTCATCCAACACACGGGTTATTCTCGTGCTTGTTGGAGAATAGAAACGTAATTTCGCGTCCTCGCGAACGTGCGAAATATTTCTGCACGCTCCGCTGCTCAAAACAACGACCCGAACACGTAGGACCAGATAATATAGGTTATTCTATCGTCGCCATGTTTTCGCACTTTTCATTTAACTTGCATTGTGCGTGTGTATGAGCACCGAAGAATTTGCGGTGTTTAATGCGCGCGCACCTGTTCCTGTCCTTTAAATTATACTTCTAGATTTAAAAAACCAATTGTATTGTCAATCGTACACGATGTAAAGTATTTAGAAAATAAATAATTCGTTGTTTTACTGCAGCTTACCAAATAGACAATACTTGTCATTGATTCAAAAATGCTTTTTGTGATCGTTATTAAGATTATTATAATTTTTCAAAGTTGAATTATTAAATATATTATTTTCTTTATAGAGTCAAATAAAGATATGCATAGAAATGATAATTGTCATTTATATTCATAGATAAAAATCTCAGAATGACGGGTCACTAACCGACCGAAGGATAAAAAAGAATAGATAGCACTCGTGAGTAAAGAGCGAGATAGACATATGTTAAGTAGCAACAGTGCAATGGCATTTCGAAGCAGAAACTCATAGCGAGAGGAAAATGTTAGCTTCGGACAGCTCTCACGTTCTCAAGACTGAAGCATGTAGGTAGAAGAGAGCGCGAGCGAGAAAGAGAGTGAGAGAGAAAGAACGACTGTGTGCACTTGAGCGTTCAATTACACGGGAATGTGTACGTACAATGATGAGAGAATGTATCCAGGAGCATAATACATACAGTCGAGTTGGAGTATCAAAACGTCAGGACTTTAATTTCAAGGTCCGATAATGCTTCTGAAAGTTTAACTGTCATATCGCAGATGTTAATCTATGAATTTAGGCGTCTTCAATCGTGTCAATTCCAAGGTAATTAATTCATTGCTTTCGCTATGTACACTCACAGAATACTAATAAAGTCTCTCCTACTAGCACTTGTTTGTACCCCGAGGTTATCGTGCTGATGACGAGTTTGACGCCTACGCTTTAAACGCTTTATTTATGTTTTATAACGGATTCAGCTATGGTATTTTTTAGTGAAAATTTATTTCAATTAGTGAATCACTGATTACTTGCTGAATATAATTTGAAATTAAATCAAAGAATTGAATTTTCATCGTGTATTTTTCATAACTCGAATATTGAAATTTCGATTTTTATTTAAAAACAATATCTAAGTGTATTGAAATATTTACTAATATCAATTTTTCTTTTGTAGGACTTAGGAGATAATATGTACTCAGAGTGGGCGTCTCTGAGTATACTGATCCAACATGGATCAGAAGACAGCCAAAGTGTTCTTGAGAAATTTGCTCCTGGAGTCGGCAGAGAAGTCACACTATCCATTGTACGACAATTGGCTACAAATCTTGGTATTGCTCAAGCTGCAGAACCAAGTCCACTGAATACAGATAAAGAAATACAATGGTGTATGGAAGTTATCTGTTTTGGGCTGTCCTTGCCCCTAACTGAACATGACACTGTTCGGGACTGTGTTAATGTTTACTGTGAGTGGTTATCTGCTCTCTACACTTCACCGAAAATATCAGTGCCTAAACCTATAGCAGATGATCCAAATTATTATGCAAGAAAGATTATCTGTCACTTGCATAATCTCTTTGTACCAAGGAAAGGAGAAGGTAATTGGATACTATTATATATATATATATATATATGTTTGATTTTTTATGTATTAGTTATACCAGGTATTATGAGTAGAATTACACTACTTCACTCCATTTGTACTTGTAATCTTAATATATCTACTTTGTTGTATTCTCATAATGCCTACTATTCACGTGTCCTGGTTTTACACTATACAAATACTCCTTATAACGAGTCCTCATTTGTCTAAAACAAGTACTTCTTTTTTCCATAGTCTGGCCATTTTTATACCAGGATTTGGGTAACACATAACACTTACTTGCATGCAATAAGTAGTAATAGCAATAAATATATTGTTACTTTGAATTAAACCATTATTATTATTAATAAATTGTAGGAGATGATACAATAAATAAACAAGCAGTATTATGTCACAGAGTTTTGCGTACTTTGCAACAAATTGCAAGAAGCTCTGTGACACTAGAAAGAGAAACTTGGGAGAGCTTACTTTTATTTTTAATTGGTATTAATGATGCTCTTCTGGCTCCACCAGCAATAAGAGAGGATACAGGGGAGCAACTTTGTGAACGAGTATTAGGAGTACTGTTAGAGGTTTGATTTCAGGATATTTTTAAAGTTTTGATTATAAATTACTTTATTTACTCTAATTTTTTAATCAATATAGGTTTGGCTAGTAGCATGTGAACGTAATTTCCCATCACCACCACTATGGAGAACTTTAAGAGAAGCATGTCTTCGATGGCGTCATCGATTATCTTTAATAGAGCAATGGAACCGCGTTTGTTTGGCTCTCACAGCTCGCCTACTACATATAATGTATGGACCAATGTTTCCAGAGCTAAAAATTAGTAAGTAAACAGGAAGATTTACAAAGTAAAAGCTTAAGTAAATGAATAATATAAATTTTGTATTTTTAGGTGATGAAGATTCTCAATTAGTCCCTTCCACAATGTCAAACGAAGCAGTTGCTCAGTCATGGTACAGACTGCTGCGCACAATAGGTGATCCCGTCGATCTATGCCGTCCAGCTGTGATATCGCAGACACCAGCTTTTTTAAGATACGCTATTACCAGTCCCAACGTCGTCGATCCATGTCAACATCCTTGTTTACAACAGTTACCCTACATATTTCTTAAAGCAATAAAAGGCATTGCTGGCCAGGTCGATGCATTTTTAGGTATGATAAATTGAATCAATTTAAGTTAGCTATAAGTGGCACATCACACTAAAACTTTACATCATTGTACACTGTATAGAACTACTGCGACTCTGACTCTCTCTCAAAAAGCACGGGCATGTGGCTTTCTGCTTTCCGTATAATGCTTGCACAACTGAGCAGATTGCAACTGCATATATACATATTTTAATACTTAATAGCTAATATCAACGATTATTTGCTAAAAAAACATGTGTTCGTAGGAACCAAAAACAATTATTTAATACTGATATCTTTAAAAAACTTTAAAGTATAATTTCTCATAAACAAACATCGAAAAGTTATGATAATTTCTAGCGTTGTAAACAATTATTATATTATCATTATTCATAATAATCCATCTGTTAATACGATGAACACACTCGAGGAAATATCTGTGACGAAGGTGGTGGTATAGGCAGGGGTGAACAGTCTACAGAGTATTTGCAGGTATTACGCAGGCATGTTGCTGGGAGGATTGCTGTGTGACGAGTGGCGGTGGAATGACCGTTGAACGCAAAGAACAGCATCATCAGCAATCCAGCCATCCCTCACCGACACCTCCCACGCAGCGAAGGCTCGCCAAGAGTTTCAGCGTTACACCGTCCGCCGTCACTAAGGGTACAAGCCTGACTCAAAAGAAAATGAATGAACAGCTTACTTTTTTACACTTCATTTTCTATTTTTCATTTTTCTTTCTTTCTTCTTCTTTTGCACATTAGTCAAGTAGTCGTTTTTTATATTTTTTTAACTTATAATATTCATGTTTTTTGTGTGTTTACTTTGAGGTCGAAGTCGATTATGCGATCGGGAGATAAAATGATTGATTGTTGATTTTTTTAGGTATTCCCAAGGCATCATTGATTGGACTGACCACTAGTAGAGTTACGAGTAGTTCGTTGATGAGTACTAATTCGGGTCCTTCGTCTACTTCCAGTACAACTTGTAAGTTCAAATAGTGTTTAATATTTAATTAATAGTAGATCATTTCGTACATTCAAAACGATAATTGCTCCAACAGCTATAATATCGTTGAACCAGGATGTCAGACCTCCGTTAGCATCGGCTCGTCCAAAGTGCAATAGTATACTCCACTTGTTTGGAGAGTGGCTTTACGAAGCTGCTTTTATCGGTACAGATGGTTGGTCGCAAAACTTGCCACGTAAGAAGTAAAATATACAGCTCAAAATATTGTTTACTAATAGCTAAAGAGTCATTTTTAATTTACAGAACCAAGTAATGCTCCAAAACGTCCGTCATCGATACTTGTTGACGGTCCAAGCTCTTTGCAAGAAAGCCTTGGTGAAGTACCACCTTCATTAAGTATAGATCGATATGAATCTGGTCGAGCAGAGGCAATGGGCACTCTTTGCAGAATATTCTGTGCTAAAAAGACTGGAGAGGAGATTTTGCCTGCTTACTTAGCTAGATTTTATCAAGCTATGAATCAAGGCTTGAAGATAAATAGATTTTCTGAAGTAAATATGATTAATAGTTTGTATAATTTTACTTAATTGTTAATATTAAAAGTTTTTAATATAGATTTTTTGGTTAGGTAAAAGAGTGTGGAGAAACACTAGCTAGTATTTTATCTAATTCGGCTGATCTATTTCGTCTCGAACTTGATGGTGTACTAGTTCTTGTTCCCGTAGTGCTTGCTGCATTAGAGCTTGTATTACCAGAAAAAGATTTGAGGCTCAAATCTAGTTCTGTCTCAAAAGTAGAGTTACGTAGATCGTCTATTCATTTGTTGATATCTATGCTGTGTTTACCGCTACATTTTCAAGTAAGTCTAATTGATTGTAATTTTATGTATGGCAATGGAGTTCAATATATTATGTGACTTTGTCTTTCAGAATCTGCAAATTAAAGAAATACCAACGGGTAATTACATAAATCAAGAAAAAATACCGATTACCTTTGCTCAATTAAAACCAAAACTGATGAATTTGTTGATAAATGCACTACAAGTCGAAGTAGATCCTCAAAATACACACATGCTTTTAGGTAATTTTATTTTATTATATTATATTAAGAAAATTTGGTAATCTTTTCTAAATATAATCAAAACTCTGAATAGGTGGACTATTACTAAGTGTCCAAGATTCTGCAGCAGCTGAAGAGGCAGAACAAGTGACTCAACCTGACACCGCACTGCCTAATGAAACCACCACTAATTTACTATCATCCGGTAATTTTTATAGTAATAATGCTTACAACTTTTCCAATCATTTTATTTTGTTCGATACGCTTATTTTCACATTACCATGAATAGTAAGCTTGTTGCTGCATCATTCGTTTACATTTTGATGCATTACACATATGTAAGCTTGAGCATCAAGAGTTTTTTTTAATACAATACAAACATATAAAAATTTACATGCACACACACATAAATTTTATAAATTCATTAACGAATGGGTCAAACGCATACCCGATTCTATTCATAAATTGAATTAAAAATCTAAAACTTTTCAAAATAGAATCAAATTGTTTGTCAATTTTTTTCTTTATACAAATGATTCGTTTCATTGTGTAATGTGTCGATGAAAAATCAATAATCTGCTGTATACTAAAAGAACGAATGCGCAAATTGTGTAGTGTTGTGTTCGGTTTGGTGTCTGATTTTTCTGTTTTGTTTTGTTTTTTATTGTTTCCTCTTCATTTTGCATATATCTTCATTCTGCTATTGGTCTACGTATACAAATTACTCGGTAGTTTGCACCAGTGACACAACCAGCCAGATAAGCATATCCAGCGATCTGCGCTCTCTAGGCGATGCATCTGATATTGCTATGCTACAAGAAGAAAGCGTTTCTTTCGGTAAATATTTTTGCAAAAGATTTATTTATTTGTTTTTTTTTTTTTAATTAATTACAGCTGTATAAAACTCCTTTGCTTTTTCATCTCTCACGCTGACTTACGCTGATTTATGAAAACTACACTGTTTGTTTACTCATGCTTACGATTGCCTTTGCCTTGATGATAATTCATAATTTATACGAACAATGATTTAATATATATTATACAGTTTATATTGCTTTAATACTGTTACAGTTTTCAACGACAAACTTTCTGTAACTTATTTATATGTAATTTGAAGGAATGCCTTTAAACACGTTTTAACGTTACTTACTTACTTTTTCAGTTGATGGATAAAAGCTTACTAAAATTGTTTCTGAATTTTTTATATTAAAATCTTGAATAATAAATAATTATAATAAAAAACGCAGTTAATATAGTAAAGTAAACTAAACTTGATTGATACATTAAAATTCAAATAAGATTAATGTTATCTTCCCTATGACTTAACTTTTTAATACGAAATCAAAATCTTATGATAAACAGATTCAGCGCATGCACTGTTTGTACGAGCAACATATTTGGTATGTCATCGTTTGATATCATCTTGGAAAACTGATCTGAATATCTCGTTGGCCGCCCTCGAACTGCTGTCTGGATTAGCGAGAACACGTATCCGAGAAACAGGTATGTCTATTATAAATCTGAAATAAGTTGATGATAAGTACGAGTAAATTTCAATAATATGTTGACAAGCAGCAAGGAAATTCACAGGTTTGGAATTTAAAAAAATTTTCAACTAACGATTTTTTATTTTACTTACAATTAATGAATTCTCATATTTGAGTTCGGATAATAATTGTGACAAAGGTAATTCTATTTCAGATGCTCTGGAATGTAAGCGAGCAGTTAAGTGGCTATGTGACTACATAACGTATCAATGTTGGCGACCACCCCCAGCTCACTCCAAAGACCTACATTCGTCAATTGTCGCTGCTTTTTCATGTTTGACCACTTGGCTTACCACACATCCACAGCTTTTACAGGTTAAATCTACTAGACATGTAATATGGACAATAAGAGCTTGCTTTACGCTAAAGGTTAACATTTGTAGGATAAGGAGTGTCTGACCACAGTATTAGAGGTCGTAGAATTAGGAGTATCGGGTTCGAAATCAGTGGGAAAACCCGGAGAACCAATTAAGATGAAAGACGAGAAGGAACTGAAACCTGCTTCGATGCGCGTCAGAGATGCTGCTGATGCATTACTTACGATCATTTTGGAGCAGGTACGTTTACCAAATATTTCAGCAAAGATTCTTTTTCAAACAGCGTGTTTTTATTTTATTGCAGGTCGGCTACTTCCCAAGTGTATGCGGTGCTGAATCTCTTTCTTCGCTTCTCGACGAAGTTTCTCTTTTACGCCATTGTAATAGTTGGCCAGGCGGTCAAGTACCATTGCAGACAGCGGTTGAGCGATTTCGTTACTTTGTAGCCGATAATGTAACGATGCTCGCGTTATTAGAAGAGCCACTAGGTAATGATCAAGATCCTCAACCAACCGTGACTGTCCTCATTCGTGGACCGTTTGGTCGACACGCTTGGACTATGCAACTGAGACATTTACCTCGACATCGGTCGGTCGTTAGAAGCTCGAATACAAATCCAGGTCGACCGCTGCCGTTGCAAGAGACTCAACAGCCTGTCGACTATAAGCCAAGATTCTTTCCGGATAACGTGGACAAAATTCCACATTGCAAAGTGTGAGTTTTGATGGAATTTGGTATAAAATATTTTATGGAAATTAAATGCGGCACAAAAAAAATTCATATTTTGTTTTAACAGCGATGAGTCGATACCGAGCTTGGAGGCAGTGATGAATGAAAATGACTCAATCAAGAACGAACATCAGATTCTGCATCAATTGCTCGACTACGCAATTGATAGTGAGGCAAAGTATAACGAAGAAAATGCAAATCTCGTGTCTGCCGAGAAAGTGAACGAATGTTCGCCTCCCAAAATATGCCACGAGTTCCAAACAGCGCGACTTTTTCTTAGCCACTTTGGCTTCTTGAATCTCGAGTCAGACACGCAGAATCAATTAAATACCGGTGCTGGTGGACTCACTGCTTTAGATCCTACAATAGCTGGTTTCGCCACAGATCTCGAAGGTCTTGATCACATTAGTGCAAGAACTTGTGACACCGTGCACGTATTCTACGTAAAGTCTGGCCAAACTATCCCAGAAACTATACTTTCAAACGTTGTAAGATTATTAATAAATTTAGTAAAGAGTATAATTGTTATAAATTGAATGTTACAAATATTGAAAATGTAATGAATAAACATTTTTATATCCTCAGCTACACGAAAGCAACGTATCGCCAAATTTCCTCGAATTTTTGAACTCACTGGGCTGGCCAGTGTCAGTAGCTACACATGCTGGTTGGACAGGACATGTCCAGACTTCCTGGCATTCTTGTAGTGCTGCTATTCCAACAAATGTACCTTCGAACGAGGAAAGTGAACACGGTGGCGCTCTTTATAATGGTACCACACACGTGCTCTATTGGGCGGATGTTAGTTCAGAAATTGCCTTTGTCGTGCCAACCCTTTCGGCCTATGTACAATCTGAACCAAACTCTGCTGACAGTAATTTGAATGATTCTAACAATGGTTCGTTTCACCGATTTATTCAATATTAATATGTAGAATTGAATCATTCGTCTATAAATTTCCTGTTCTCTTGTAACAGTATGGTTCGACAGATGTAGTACTAGCAGTGCTCATGCTTTTTCCAACTCTCCATCAGGACAAACTCGCGCGATGTCACTCGATCTTGAAAAACAGAGTGCCAATCTAGCTTCATCGTCACAATCTGAGCCTATCAGACCTCGAAGGACTACCAAGCACTCGCTTCCTGCACAGACTGACACTAAAATAATGGTTGTCTGGCTTGAGAGTCTCGAAGATTGTGCACAATTTCCTATTGGTAATTACATGTTACATAAACTTCCGTTATACATTGGAGACCTGTTTTCTAACATAAGCGATGATAAATACTTGATCATACACTATTATGTCAATTATTTTTGTTGAATTCTCAGCAACAGTTTTTTTTAAATAATTTAAATGTATTTTTAAATATAATTTTTAATTTAATTTAATTTAAATATAATTCATTTTTAAATAAAATATATCTATAAATCTATTATAACTATTGATATAAAAAAGTTTATTTTCTATTATAGTGAGATTTAATTTTTATGTTTTGTTATTAACTATCTTTATTTGTAGCTGGACTATTGACACATACGCATACAGGACTGGATCAGTCACGCACAGTACAAGCATGCGACGTGCATGTAATATACTTGCAAGCCTTAGCCAATGGTTTAATGCGAGTCAAAATGCATGGGCCAACTTCACGAATGAATCTCGCGACACCGTTGATCGATGGTATGATTGTATCAAGGAGAGCATTAGGCTCATTAGTACGACAAACTGCATTGAATATTGGCCGTAGAAAACGATTAGACAATGATAGGTAAGATACAGAATAAAGTAAAATTATTTTATAAAAATCCTTTATTTTTAACCTAGTAGAATATTTATTTAATGGTGCCACCTTTTTTGTAGCTATCATCCACCTCACGTAAGAAGACGCTTAAAAATCCAAGAAATGGTGCAAAAGTACAAGAGGGATATGCAACAACCAGAATTATTAACTCTTCTATTTAATAGCACTCAAATGTAAATAATTCTGTACATTTACTGTATTATGAATTTGTAGAGGAAATGTGATATATACTACTTTATTAATAAACATTTATTGTTATCTTTAAAACCCTTAATTTTTCATTCCGTTTCCAATCAAATTAATGCATTTTACTCCCTTTTTAACATATATTAAGAACTAAAGATTTTGGTCATTTGACTAAACTCAACCTTTACACAAATATTTAGTTATGTATGCTACAAACTTTAATTTATAATTTATAGTTAAATAGAACGAAATTACTTTTCCACCTATAAGTAGATTTTTACATCGATTTTTTTACGATATGCATATGTATTGTTCAAAAAATACATAATAAAAGCAATACTGGTCTGATATGAATAAACGTGAAATGTTGATATCTTCCATCTGGTATGATTACAGGAAGAAAGGTCATCGCTGAGTTTCATTTACATCAATATTTTATCATATACTTTTATATTATTAGTACTTACTTGGAAGTGCCTGGTCGCACCTAAAAATTAATTTAAACATACCACACTACGTTTAAGCACAACTTTCATGACAAAATTATTTCACGTTTATAAAAAAATTGCGACCAATGCTGATATTTAGAAAACTACATTTATTTTTAAATTCATGTTCTATTGAGTTTTTTGACATTATTGCTTCGTAATGAGTGATAAAAAATATAATCTTCAGAAGGAATGCTGTTATACAGAACAATAAAGAAAAAGCGATATGCTGAAATTCACAGAACGGCAACAAATTTATTTATTTACCTGTTTGTAAGTACTTAGTAAGCGTAAAAATATATGGATATTTAAAAATTTTCTAGAGTTTATCTTAGCAGAGTTATTTACCATTTATTTTTATACTTTAGGTCTGAAGTCATGAGAACATGTCTAATTATTTAAGGCGCGTAAATACTAAGCAATACCTGACTCACTCTACGCGATATATTAAATGTTGATGGTTCTAAAATACTTGTGTTTTTAATAAATAGTTTTCTAGGCAGAAACAACCGTAAAATTATCTCAATTACTCTTTAATTTTTAAAAAATGATTTGTTAAAACTAATCTTTTAAGCTAGAATATAAAAATAAGCTATTTCTTAAAAATAATGTTAAATATTTATGTCATATGATATTATATTTTACACAAATTGTTATTTTCCGTAAGCGTTCAATCAGATAATAGTTTGAAAAGAACAAAAAACACGAAAGGTCTAAAGTATAAAAATGAAGAACATATAACACTGCAGAGTATTAAATATAGTCTGGAAAATTCTGGAAAATTATCATACGATTTTATATTTCCACTACCACTATGTTCATTTTTTATATAGAACAACCTTTTCTGTGGAATATATATTTTTGTATTACTATTACGATGTTTCGTTGCTGAGATATATAACGTTTAAAAAAATATTATAATTTATTTAATTACTAATAACATTTAAAAAAATTGATATGATCTGAAAATTTGTAAAAAATGTTAATATTTGTGTTACTAATAAATGTACCTAGTTTGAACAAAATCGGTCATTATAAAGAAATTTGTTATAAGAGTTAGCCTCGATTAAAAAATATTGGTTCCGGTGGTTCGGGTACCACCTTCAACTGTACAATCATGACGCCTATAAAACTTTTCCTCTCTGATCAATCTAAAAGTGGTAGGGGAGGTAAGTCTACTTGCTAATGACTATAGGGAACCAAGTCTATCTGAATATCCAGGCATCTATAGTGTATCCCTGAGGTGTTTTGCATTAACATAGTTTTTTAAGTAATAATAATGACAATTGTTGAATACATAAAAAGTAAGATACGGCTACAAAGAATAAGGCTCAAGTGGTTACCAGCTATTGAGTTATTGTTGTTGAATATATAGATAAAAGCGCAGGTAGGTATACCTAAGAATGGTCAACCGACTGCCGGCTATTTAAGCTAATTATAAGGCTATTTAGGCGTGAAAGAACAGTTCTAGTAGAAGGTGTGAATAGATGGAAGGGCAGATACGACCGAGAAAAGTCAAGTGACTACTGGCTAATTAGGCTAATCATAGGTTACTTAGGTGTGAAAGAAAGGTCCTAGTAGAAGGTATGAATAGATGAAAGATAGGTACGGCCGAAATGGTCAAGCGACTGCCGGTTATTTAGACTAATTATGAGACTATTTAAATGTCAAAGAAATGTTTTACTAGAAGATACGTTCGGCCGCCGTCGATCTCTCCCTTTCTTCCGCTACTTTTCACTTGATTGGTTAAGTGTTTAATTCGGGTCTTAGACCGACGCCTCCTGGAAGCATATTGGCGAAATATCGCGCTCTGCCCAAGGACATTTCTGTTTCATGGAAGAAGCCATAGGCTTAAATAAACCAAATTTTCCCATATTCGTCCAGTTTTCAGCTATGCTTTGAACTTTCTAAAGCAATATTAAATTCTTGCTACAAAAAGAGAAGTTACATAAATTATGGAATAAGAATCCGCGTAATATAACAAAAAGACAACATTAAAAAAATTATATCAAAATTTGTCCAAAAAAAATCCAAAAAATCTACAAATTTTGAAAAAAGATATTGAATAGATAACAACATTATTAGGTTATTACAATACTTAACTTAATTATATTATAACATTCATTGTGTATGATGTATTGTTATGCTACCCTTGCAAAAATTTCCATTCTCTTGTTCTTGCTGACGCTGTTGAGCTGCTAATTCATTAGATAAGCGCTGGCTTTCCATTCGTAAAGTAGCGAGCCGCTGTGCAGTATAATTCTTATGAGATAAAACCATGGTGAATATACGGATTAATTATTAAGTAAACACTGTTATCGGTGTTTTCTTATCGGAGCCACCATTGTAGGAAATAATAAATTCCAACAAATACAAATAAAAGTATTTTTATTCAGAGGTTACACACACTTCGCTTATGCCTATACGCTTTTTTATCGAATGTACATAAAGAAATTGAATAGCTACAACGATACAGAGAACATATGCGCCGCCACAGGACACTGTTACCCCTGCGTTGAAGATTACATCTGTAGAGTCGTCGGATCCTATTTCAACGGTATTGTTCCACAATGATTAATCATCTGAGAGCATCGGCAATTATTAGAATAAGAAACAAAAAACATTAGCAAAGGCTTGTTAAAGTTTCTGCAAATCGAGCGCATTTCCTGAGCGAAGAGTTGAATATGCACTTTAGAGTGACTTGGAAGTTATATTAACAAGGTCGAGAATCGTTAACTCTAGGATTATCATGTAGTTAAATTAGAAGATCGTTCGCGCTAAATCGTAGAGCAGAAATTGTACTTATAATGATCGGAAAAATATCGCGGATTTATCGAATGACTAGGAGGGAGAGTCGACCGCTTTGTCCCATGTCTGCTCGGCGAATTCGTCAGCATGAATATCAGCAGACACTGTCTTGGACGCTGACATCGCAATAAATTTAAGTGCTTTACTTTTCGAATGAATTAAAAATGACTCACCCCGTTACTGACTCGACTTGGTGCTTTCTCCAGGAGTCTTCTCGTCTCGTCGCTGCGGCACGGAAGACAAAAGCATTTGTCGAATTTTCCCTTTTCCACGAGTCATTCCATGTCAAGGGCCGTAAGAATAGCTATCACGGGTCCCGTTTGCGTTGCTTTTACACGCATTTTTCCAATCACACGTTGTCTCAATTTAAAAAAAAATTTTTTTTTCCTTGAATAGTAGTTCGTAACAAAAACATCATCTTAGAATGAATAGTAAAATATTAAAAAATAAAACACTCCTTATTAACTTTAGGATAATCATGCAGTTAAAATAGAAAATATGATTGTTAATTATGTGAACTAGTGCTTCTTCGATAATGATATATTTGACATTTCAATAATTTATAAAGAAGATTCAGATTAGGAATATTTGAGTCGATATGATTTACAAATTGCCATCGATAATATTTATAAATATTTTTTAAACTTTTTTATAAACATATGAAATGTTGTTTTACAATACAACTGTATTTTTATTACATAAAAATAAAAGTATTAGACCGTGTTTTTGGAAAGGGCAAAAAATAACCTTAGTTAAAATATAAAAGAGTTACCTGTATATTTACCTGGTTTTTATGTACTATAGTTGAAACTGAAATTTATGCATCAAATAAAAATTTTTAATGAAAATTAGATCATATTCGTAGATCAATTGAAACATTATTCTTTACTGTTTTGAAGTACTTTGTTTATTTGTTGATATATGCATGAAATAATTTGCAATTTCATAAAAAAATAATTATTTAATATTGTTATTTTAATTATCTATAAAAATTTTACAAACATTTTTATAACTGACACGTGTATTTTATTGATTTTTTATTTCATAAAATATTGCAATACGTTTTTTCTGTATCCATTACATCGGTTACATAATGATCTTATTTAAGAACAATTTATGTTTGTAAAATTAAATAACCGAATAACATTATGTTAATTACTTTAACATACATGAGGCACATTGAAGTTATTTTATTTATTTCGTGTATAGCCTTGATAAAATGATGATTAAACTTTATGTTAAAATTAATTAAATGAGAACTATAATAAAATGCTTCGCAGTGTTGATTTTTTTCAGATCTATGTATCTAAAAACGAAAAAAAAAATTTCGGAAAGTATAATATTTACATAACTCTGTCAAGAATTTACCACTAAGAAGCTAAAAAAAATGTTTATCGTGTATTTCAACAGTGAGTATAATTTATCGTTCACTATCCCCGGATATGAAAATCTATTTTGTTCAGTAATTCGTTCGGTGTGAGACTAATCGTCGGCTCGATCTGCCGTGGAGAAATGTATTACCCTGTCGATCGGTCGATTGTGACCGCGCATCCGTAAAAGTGCGCGAATGTCGGGATACAAGGCACATCGTCGATCACGGAAGTTCAATTTCGAGCGAGAAGAGGTCGTAGTTATCAAGTTTTCGGATAAACGAGAAAACAATCGGTTAGCCAGTAGATTCCCCGCGGTATGCAAATGCGTTGCTTTATTATGCTTGGTACGCGACGCTGAATACAACGCGCACAGTGACACGCTAATTATGCCGAAGGCACGCGGAGCAAAATAAATAACTTACGTCGCTGAAAATTGACGTGCTGCTGCAGCCAGCTGGCTCAACTCGAATTCTCTGCTGAACTCGCTACTGTACTGATTGGCTACTAACGTCGCAGTCTCCGAGCTGCTCTCAAGAACGCTGGTTGGCCTAAGGACACCCGTCGTTTCTTTTCCGCATTGCTGGTCACTCCCGAGCTTTCGTTCGTGCACAGCACACACTGCACTCGTTGCAATCGATATTCAAAGCAGCTAATAATTAATATTCATTTCTGTCGCCTATATATGTCCGAGGGATATAGAAATAGCAGTAAGCAACGAAATTACACATAATGAAAGATTCCATCGTTCTTTTCCATTCATTTCATTTTCCCATGTTTGATCTTACTTTTTATTTGCGATCTTCTATTCGCCGCAGCTAAACTTAACACTTACGCGCATATAATAGTTGTGATGAAGTAAATTACGAAAATATGTTGAAAATGTACGCTAGTGTATCTACTGACGAATTTTTTAACGATCGTCTTTTTCGCCTTAACAAAACGTTTCTCAAAGTTTATGGTCGCTGGCCTTATCAAAGCTTAAAAATTCGGACGTCGATTGTAGGTATCATGTGGATTGCTATATTGACTGTCGTTATTCCAGAGGTTTTTATTTATTATAATTTTTCATTTGCACATCCAATATGAATGTTGATTATTAACGTATACGTTTCTGTAGAAAAGATTCAAGTAATCGTAACAGTTAAAATTGCCATCTTTCTTCCTATTTTAGATAGTACACTTTTTTACAAGTAGCAGAGCACAAATATATACGATTGACTGTTATAAAAATGTCTATTTTTATACAATGCTAAAAATAGAATAATCTTTTCTATTTCTTCAATTCAAGGTAATATATTTTAAAGAAGTGATAGATGCAAAAAATTGGAATAAAGTTGTTGATTGCTTGACAGCTTTAATTGCAACATATGGATCATTTATTTTTATTGCGAACAGCATAGTTCAATTCGATAAGGTATTCAATAATTATAAATGAGTTATTGAATTGTATGTGGCGATTAAATTAAGACAGCTTAACATTCTAAGATGACGCAAACGCTTGAAGAGATGCACAGGAATTGGAGAAATGTGGGAGACGATAAGGAAGTAGCGATTTTAAGGAAACACGCGAAAACAGGAAAAATGTTGATTTTGGTGTATTTATGTAAAACATTTATAATAATACGATTAGCTCAAAATATTAACGTTGCAATCGATTATTCAACATACATTTCAGATCTATGTACAGGGACGATTACTTTCTTTTGTACCATACCATTCTTTCCTTTTTTTATGGATATTATTAGTCCTTTGAACGAATCTCGTCCTGTAACTAACTTACTCCAAGTGCAGTATTATGTAGATGAAGAGCAGTATTATATTCCAATTTACCTACATGGTCTACAAGCTGCTCTTGCAGTTGTCTATACATTCATAACGTTTGATTCATATTTCATCATGCTCGTAGAGCATGCTTGCGGCATGTTTTCTGTACTAGGGTAAGAATGTTATTTAATTTACTTAGTATTAATAAGGTTTCGTTTGTGTAGTTATCGATGTTTTTATGTTTGTATAAGTGTTTTACAAAGAAAGTGTAACAAAATACAATAAAATAATAATTCTTTTAATTATCTATCATAATTTATTTCACATTTTATTTATATTATTATAGTTACAAAGTTCAAAGCATAAGCAGACTAAACTATGAAACAATAATATTGAATTCGTGGCGCCAACATGAGCAGTTTATATCAGCTAAACTTGGTGAAACCATACGGTTTCATTGGGATTGTCTTAGGTAATTTATTTATAATCTCATTCAGCATATTTATTATTCTCAATTTCACATTTTCATTAGAACACAAATGAATACACTATATAAGATAAAACTAGTCTTCCCATCAAATTCCCATCCCATCATAAAAGACTTAGTCTGATAATTTATTGACATATACGCTTATTTTAATATTTGTCGACGTAATGTTATACTTGTCATTTTTTTCAAATTGTCCAAAAAAAACTCTAAGACATGGACTAAGTTTTTTGTCGCTACAGCTTATTACGTGAACGTCTTTGGTGCATCCATTTTGGTATGACTACGAATAATGATTGATAAATCTGTTATATAATATATATTAGAGCATAATGCACTTTCTTGAAGTTTCAAGAAAATAAAGTGTATGCGGATTACTTGTATGTGAGCAGCTTGATATGCTCATATAGATACTGAACCCACGATACCCATGATCTTTCTCATTATTTGCGTTTGCCGCACAGGTCTTGAATTACAAGGTTTAAACAAAATAGATACAAAGATAAATTTTAAAATAGATAAATCTCAAGCACAATTAAATTAAAAGTGACGTAAATTGTAGGCAGAGTGTATGGATTGTATAAATAAACTAAGATTTAAGCAAATAAATACATTTATTTTTATTACAATAGGTATAAAAAATCTTCTCAAAATGAGAAGAAAAGAGCCAAAAAAAACACAAATATAATAGATACATCGTTTAAACTTAAAAATTACTTGACATTGCTTAAACTTAAAAAACGCCAGCCACGTACAAGTGTCGGTAAGGCACATTCGCACACGCGTAAAGTAGTTGAGATGCGGGAGTCAAAGAGACCCGAGCAACTAGGCGGTAGCGTCTAACTTAAAGTTGGCGGGAGGCTGAGGGTTTCTCGAGCCGGACTGACTGGTTGTTTTCAGGAGAAGCGTCGGAAAGCCGGGAAAAATAACAAAGATGTTCTCTCCTCTATGACCAAAGACCCGCAGGAAACTGCGTCATATCACTCCCTCTCTCTCTCTCTCGACGAGGCTTGCTCCTTAACCACAAAGCTCAGCTGTAGATCGGGAAAGCAATACGCAAAGGTTATACTCCTATGCCCACTTTTACCAACTACTTCGAAATTCTAGTTTCGGTGGACAGGACTGCTTTTGCGCCTGGCTGCTCCGCCACCGACGACAAACCTCCTCTAGACCTATGGTACCTTAAGACTTAAAACTTTCTCGTCTACAAATAGTCCTTACTTTTAAATGTTAGTCTTTATCTTAGTTCTTAAGTTAATCAGTAACTTAAATTTTTTATCTTTCCTAGATCCACTTTCCTCTTATTAGTCTCGCTACGATATTTTTGTGATTTGTTTTTTTATTTGTTTTTATACTAATGTTGATCATTTCTTTATTTGTTGTTTTAGTATTTTTACTTAATCTTTTTTATAATTAACATTTGTTATTGCGTTACATTATATTAGTTCTATATTATATTATATTAGTTACATACGTTACATTATATTAGTTACATTATAGTATGTTGTCTTTTATCTTGTTTTTATGTATCTTTTTCACAGCGTTTTCTTATATTTTTATCACACTTATACTCATTTCATCTTTCATCTTTTATCCTATACAATTATATCTTATGTTGCTTCGCACTTTTTACTTTTTTACTATTTTACTTTTTACTCGTGTTTATTTTATTTTATTGTTTTTCAATTTATATTTTACTCATGTTTCATGAATTTTATTTTATAATTCCATTGATGTATCAAAGCTGCCGGACAGGATTCTATCTCATTGGCGAAATAAAGAACTATCTATCTATTTCTCCTAATCGTTGACTGGACTCCCGCAAAAGGGTTCCATAGAGGAGAGGACAATTTTGCCATTTTCCCCGCCTTTTGGTTGCTTCTCCTGAAAACAAACGACACCCTCGGAGGCAGTCAATCTGGCTCGAGAATTCGCAGTGTCATTCTCAACCTTTCAGTTAGATGCTACCGCCTAGTTGATCGTACCGCTTGGACTTCCGCATCTGAATTACTTTGCTTGCGTGCGTATGTGCCCTGCCGATGCCTGTGCGAGGTTAGTGTCAGACTCACTTGCTACGCTAACAGGAGTAGCGGTATTTTCCTCTGGGATGCTGCCAAATACCCGCTACCCTCAGATCGGCAACTCGGTGATAACGCAGTGAGGGCTGTCGCCGTCTCCGAGGCATCGGATTTGTTTGCAGTAGTTTCTGTCGTTCGACCTGCCACTGTGTGCGTGCGTCTACGTCACCACGCGAATGTCCATTCTCCCGCGATCATTGTAAAGTCTAGACGTGCCTCTAAACTTTCTTACGCTATTTTTAAGTTTAAACGCTGTGTCAATAATATTTGTGTTTTTTTTTTTGGCTTTTCCTCCTCACTTTGAGGAGATTTTTTATGCCTATTGTATTTATTTGCTCCGAATGAAACATTTGTTTTTTATTTGTACAATCCGCATACTCTACCTATAATTTACCTTACCTTTAATTTAACTGTGCTAGAGACTTATCTATTTTTTAATTTATTATTAATATTAATTTATTTGTGTCTATTTTCTTTGAACCTTGTAATTCAAGACACACATCTAACATTTGGACGTACCTGGTAAATGGTGGATAATGGCATTTCAAAATATTTTTTGAGAAACGTCATAAGTTTTACAAGTGATGTGGAAAAAAATGGTATAATATAATATAATAAACCCTTCTCCCCTGAACCATTTAACTTGTTTACGTATGTCAGCATATCGTCAAAAGCTCAAATTACTATTCTGTTTTTGTACAGCTTGATTATTATTATTATTATTATTATTATTATTATTATTATTATTATTATTATTATTATTATTATTATTATTATATTATTTTCATACTAATCAAAAAATTGTCATTTTCGTTGTTTAATTTCAGCTTCTTTTAAGATTCAATTACTTGCTATAATTAATCATTTTATATTCTACTAGGTTTATCAGCTTAATTGAAGATTCTTTAACCATTGCGTGGCTATTGCAGCTGTTTTTGAATATGATCATTATCAGCGTTTGTGGAGTACAAGTAATCTATCTACATTGATTCTATGCTAGATTATCCAATTGTAGTATAAATGTTGTATTGATATCAGCTTCAAGTTTAATGATTTATAAATTTAACGATCAATGCTAACTTATAAAAATAGTTTTGGATAATCACCAAATGACATTTGTTACGTATTGCATTCAGGAAAGAATAAATTTTTCATTGCATTCTTAATCTTTAACAATCAACAATTTTCTTTTATAATTCTAGTACAATATATACGATACATTTTCAAACTTACGTACAATGAGATACTTGTTTGCAGACAATTACACGCACTAATGAGCCCGTGCATATGCTACAATTTTTCATGAATACAACGTCTACAGTATTTCGGTTATTCTACATTTGTTGGTCAGGACAAAAAATATCAAATCATAGTAATCAGTTTTACAGTATTTTGTAAGTAAGTTCCACAAATGCATTCGAAATAAAGTAACCAATATCAATATAGTTTTGATACAATCTTTTATTTAGAAATAATATTCCATGGTATGATTTTCCCCAAAAGTCGAAAAAGTTGCTGTTGCTTATGATGTTACGAAGTTCGTCGCCATGTTACATTACTGCTGGTAAAATGTTGTATTTAAATTTTGATACTTATTGTACGGTGCGTATGTAAAAAAAACCAATCAATCAGTGAAATTAGACCCTCTGTGCAAATTAAACATTAAAAAACTTATTTTCCAGCTCATGAAAACGTCAATGTCTTATTTAACTATGATTTTATCAACTCAATAATTTAAAATTGGAAAATGTTCATTTTATAAAGAAGTGAACCATACGAAGAAGAAAAAAATCATCCATTTATGGATTTTCTATTCTTTATTACTCGTCAGAAATATTTTGTAGTTACTGAATAATAATCTATTTTATGAGCATTTCATTTTGTCAGCATATCATTTTACAATTTATTCAAGAACACAGATCTATATTTCACCATAATATCTAATAGCCAACTACGATATTTTAAAAATATGAAACTATCTTTGATAGTAAAATTGGGTTATGGTTTGGCGAAAAAATACAAGAAGAATCAGTAAAAATAACAAAATAACACTATTTTGCATCAATCCGTAATGACTTGAAACTATACTCTCATTCTGAAAAAGATTTTTAATTTTCGTCATTTATTAAAATAATTTTGATAAAATTTGTGGAGTGTACAGTATTTTATGAATAATTTCGAATAAAATGATTTTCATGATCTTCAATTAAAATATTTTAATTATATTTATGGTAAAATAAAAAAGGTCCACCCGAGTCATTTTTAACATATGCATGTATTATTAGCTTTATAACTAGTCCTCTTTAAGGAAAATATAATACAAAGACGAAATTTTCTATTTATACTTATAGTCACTTATAGGTATGCAATCTAGATATGTGAATTGATATTATATAATATCTAGATATGTGAATTGATATTATATTATATTATATAATATCTAGATATGTGAATTGATATTATATTATAAGATATGAAAATCTAATATTCCATATCTTAGCAGTAAATATCTATTTTAACAAATCGAAAAATCTAAAGATTCTCTTTCTGAATTTCATAAAATTACTTTGAAACCTTTCGACAGTTGGAAGGTTCGCCAAAATGAAATTGTTAAAAAATCTTCCATAAACATGGAGTTCGTATAGAGAGTTTGATAGTGCTGAAATTGCGAAAATGAATTTAAAGAGCTTCATACTTCACTTTTATTAAATTCATAATGTTAGTTCCTTGTTCGTCTTGTTTAGTCGTAATTATAATCGTAAATATATAGAGAAATATAAATAGTTTCAATATTTATTACCATATTTTCTAAACTTAAGTCCGCAAATTTTCATCTCAAACGTGATTCGAAAAATCAATATATTTTTTTATTTTTAAACGCCACAATTGATTGCTATCTATGTGTATGCTTATTGATCTAATATTTATAAATATCAATGGTAGAGAAAAACATGAATTGAATTGATTATTTATATATGTGAATAAATGACCGCAATGAAACACTACAATGACAATAAATCAGTAAAAACAAAAAAAAAGCTGTACTGGAAAAAACTGTTGGATGCGTGAAGAGCCATTAAATGAACCGGATTTTTTAAGCCACTGGTCACGGATTCGAAAATAACTTTGAAGCAAAATATTACAAGTGCGCACCGTGAACCATGAATGACGAGAGCTCGGAAATGCAGGCACTTCTCGCGGGCTCAGTCCAAGCATCTCTCGGAACGATTGCCATATCCGCAGCGGAAAGTTCTTGTGTATGCTCGCGCTCTTCCCCTCTCTCGAAGTTTCGAGCGTTCTCCGAGAGTCAAATCATCGCTTGGACTTTTCGCCAATATTAGAATGCCCACGATCCAAATTTTCCCCCTTCGATACCCAAGGCTAAGATCGCCCGTCTGGCAAGTCGAAAAGCTTCGACCTGTTGCTCGCCATCTCATGCTATAAAGCCAGCCACTCCAATCTCAGCCGCTACATTTTGCCCGTAGCCCTCAGCTCGACTTCTTGTATACTCAAGGACAAACACCCGCTGCTTCGCAATGTCTCTCCAACGCCAAGTCCACGCCAAGGTACGGCTTCGACCTCTTCGTTTCTTGTGGATCGCGGATTGTTGTGACATTTATCCCAGAGTCTTTTGTGTTGTCATTCGAATCAGTGACGATTTTTAGATCTATTTGCACAGTGATAGAAGCTTTGTGATTAAAAATTGCACTTCGCTGATTTTAATTAAGATTTTTATAGTCGATCAAGTGCTAATGAAACGTCTGACTTGCAGATCTTGGCGAAGCGTGACCCACAGCAGGAAGCCGAAGCCAAGGAATGGATCGAATCCGTGCTCGGCAAGAAATTCCCCGCTGGAGTTGCCTTTGAAGACCATCTCAAGGACGGTATTGTTCTTTGCGAGCTGATGAACGCTATCCAACCTGGTTCTATCAACAAGATTAACACTTCCGGTGGAGATTTCAAGATGATGGAGAACATCAACAAGTAAGTCGATGCTTTCTTAATTTCGAAGTAAATGTCTCGCTACGAGAGTCTTTTTCGAATTCAACAATAATTAAGCTCTATTAGTTGTTATGTTTTTTGTTGAGCGTATATGAGACGATACAATAATTAAATATTTTTTATATTGGTAAAAATATTTTCTTTTTTTGTAAAATAATTTTTACTTCTACAACATTAAGAGGTACGGTTAATACAATTGTTCATTGATGATTCAAAGAACAGAAATGTTTCATTCTATTTTTTGTTTAGATATAGTTGTTTATATAAAACGATATTATAGTAATTTTTGTAATTTGACTTCCCACGTATATTGAGCTTAATTAAGATGGAATGCTGAATCTCTTGACAGAGCGACTTTTATAACTTTGTTTAGAATAAGCAAGTCTATAAATAAGATGTGGTCGTCATTCAATTCATTTTTCAAAGAGAATCCATTGATCTTTTTATTTATTTATATATTTTTCAATCTTCGAATAATTATTTTATAGTAAAATTAATTAACTTCCCTAGATTATAGAATTTTACTTTTTAACAATTATTCTGAAATGATCGATAACTTATGCGAAACTTTCAAAATCTTATCAAGTGCAAACGATGGCAAATTGAGGAAAACACGACATTGAGTTTTCAAAGCAAAACTTGGTCTCTTTCAGAGTGAACTTTTCTATTAATAAATTTTGGCTTGTTTTGAAAGCTTAGAAAATAATTGAAATAAGAAAATGTATAAATACAAATTGATGAATTTTGTAATTTGAGCAACTGAAATCAATTCTTCATCGACGAGGAAATTAATCACAAACATGAAGGAATGACATAAAATTCGTCCAATCTGGTAAACTTCGAGGATAGTATAGAAAAAGCAGAAATACGAGTGAGTTTTCCCACGCCAATTTACGTGAATTTACGCCAATAGGGCGCAATTCAGTGTAAAAACGTGTCAAGAAGAGCTAGTAAAAAGTTGATTGAGAGCCTCTGTACACAAATATATATCTAAAGGGGGGACAGAAAGAGAGAGAGACAGCGATGAAAATACATCTTGCTTGTTAAAAACAGATTCCAGCAGGCAGCCAAGAACTACGGTTGCGCCGACGTCGATGTCTTCCAGACCGTCGACTTGTGGGAGAAGAAAGACATTGCGCAAGTCGTCACGACCCTGTTCGCTCTTGGTCGCGAGGTGAGTTGTCGTGCTCAGCTTCTGCTGTTTCGCAAGCATTCCCGATTTCCCCGCGGACGACTTTTATTATGACAGCGCTCCAATTCCGTTTGATCCCATATAGTCTTACTTCTTATTTTCGTCCGTGCCCTTCTTTTCGCTTTTTTTTCTCTCGCTGCGGAGGATTGTGCAACGTCACTTCAGACGCCACAGCGTTCAATTCTTTTTAAATACATTCTGCATCTGCGTAATCGGTTCGAGCGTTTACCTAATTACTACGTAGAGATGCTAGGTCGTGGCGTGCATTGGCAAACGTCAAAACTCGTTCTGTCATTGAAGTTCATTATACTTTCATGCTCTTCATAGTCGATAACATAGATTTACGCGCAGTACGTCAGGGTATACCTTGATTATCATAATAGTGGTCTTTTTCTTATGGAAATTGCTGAGAAACTGAAACGGAAACGCAAACAATAAAATATTAATGAAAATCCATAATCGAGGCACGCATCATTATACCGCTTTGATTATTGCTTTAATCGTTCAAAGCCAACGGAATAAAGCCAACGACATGAACTTAGTGAATTTTGTGATTCTGCTCTACAGACCTACAGACACTCCGAGTACAAGGGACCTCACTTAGGCCCCAAACCCGCCGACGAGTGCAAGCGTGACTTCACAGAAGAGCAACTAAAAGCCGGCCAAACAGTGATTGGTCTTCAGGCTGGTTCCAATAAGGGAGCCACTCAGGCTGGCCAGAACATCGGTGCTTCCCGCAAAATTCTCCTCGGAAAGTAAACACCGTTGACCTGTCTTCGATATTTCCTGCAATATCTCTACGACGCTTCACATTGATAGCCCAAAAACCCATTCGATTTTCGATATCACTATGACTTTTTATTTTTTATGTACATATACCAATTACGCATTATATATAATTAATTATATATAACTCTAAACGATACATTGTCTTGTTTATTACTTGACCTCTGTGCTTTTTTATTTCATCATACATCCGTTTACAACAGTGAAACAAAAGGCAAGCAAGCCTTTATTTCTATCTCGTCCGTCGGATTTTTCAACGATTGAAATAATATTGAAAATGAATAATCGACGCAAAAATAAGAGATCTATTTTGAGATAGCGTGGCACGCGCGCGCGTATTCAGAAGAAGAGTAGAGGACTGTTTGGAATCGATATATTTTAGGCAATGAGTCACGTAGCGGTCGCGCTTCGAAAAATTAGCGAGAGTTGGAAATAGCCGTTCTTGAATTAACTGACGGTCGATCATAAACTTGCAACGTACAACCTTAATTGGGTGATCGCTCGATCCTTAACTTCGAAAGATATTTTTTAGATGCGCGATATTCATTCGGATTGTGATTAACGATAACGAGCATAAATATCAGTTTGTATTCGCGGAAAAACTGTTGGTGGAGAAATCGACGATAATCCGAGAAAATTGGAGAAGCGGAAGGATTTCGATAGACACGATTCGATCTTTCGCATATTCTACGCGAATTCATCGGTATTCTAAAAAGAATTGAGATTTATATGTCAAAAATGAATTTTCAATCTTGACCTAGAAATCAATTAAAGAAATAAAAGAAAAGGATCGTAAGCTCAATCGATCGACCGATCTAGTATTGGAACCACGTGTCAACAAAGCGATTCTCTATTATTTCAAAAATTGGAAACCTTGGCTCCGTCGAATTTCCATTTACTTTGGCACTACATCGCGCGTCTTTTGTATATATATTTTCAAGCGTCAGCTCCAGGATATGAAGCTGGCGTTTGCGATAATTTTAGCGCGCGCAACAACGCGAACGAGAGCCGGCTAAAATAGGTTGCGAAAGAGCGAGATTTTTTTTCCCACTCTCTTCAGTAACCCTAGTGGCTGATTGCATATATAAATACGAGCGACGAGAGAAATTGCGCGCGCGGCTTATTAATTATTGCACTTCTTTCTTCGGGCTTTAAATTAGAAAAGAACTTCAAGTTTCATTGAAATAAAATAAAGCGCTTGAATAAAATCGGTCGTGTTCTATCAACAGCTGAAGACATGTAGTTTTAATAGGTACACTTAAGAGCGAGAAATGAGCACAGAAATGATTTATGTTTTGATATCTCATTAATCAAGCGTTATGCCCAGGAAAATTGACACAAATTCATGAAATAACGAGTCTCTTAATCTCGCGTAATTTATCTCCCTTCCAAGAATAATTATTTTGACGGTCTGTTACTCAATCAGCATGCAACATTTCCGGACAGTATAACTAACGCACCAACAATGTATTACTTTACACGGACGGCCAGTGACAGTGAGCCGGGTTCGATTTTCTCCTCAATCAGCGAGAGTCACTTAAGTGAAACAAGTCGCGCTGCGGTCGGGCGCCGGCTCATTAATTTGGCTGGCGATGTTGCCAAAAGTACGTGAACCCGATGAACGTTTGTTGTGCCTGTGCCAGACGAGGGTGGTCAATTCCTGCTTTATCCGTGCAAACGTGTCACGCTCGGCACCGATCCAAAAAGCGCAACTCAGCAGTTTGCTTGAATAAAAAATACGTGCAAACCGAAAAAAATATTCCAAAAATTCATGCACATATTAATCCAGTATCAAGTTCAAAGCTACATTTTTTACTTCTATTAAGAGATGCAGCTTGGATTATAGATGTTTATTATCCCCTTGTGTCTATCTTTACAAATTTTGTCGTCAGTGTATTTTGAAAACTTAAATAATTTTATTTGGTTAATGTTCTTCAAATGTCTTGATTATCAATATTATTCTCAAATACATATTTCTCGAATTTTGTTAGTCTCATAAATTATATTATTGATAAACAAACCATTTTATTATTTTTACAACAAATTTTATTTTATTTAATATTTCATTGATACATTATACTATTCACTTTCTCTACAAGTAAACAAAACTATAACAATATTTTTTAAAGATTAAACTTTAATTTTAATGGTTAGAATTTTTTGCATTATTTCATAAACGTATTTTACTTAATAATGAATTATTCGTTAAAGCTTTCACTAAGAATAATTTCTTAAGAGTTATCAACTAGGTCGATGAACGCTTTTTTAAGCTTTAAGTATAGTTGTCAATCATTACAACACCCTTCCTTATGTTCAATATGTATTCAGAACAGCTATACCATCTTATAGTAAGATACTTTGCAAGCTTATTGCTGGAGCTTAACGCCAAAGTAAAAATATATAAACACTGAGTGCAATTATACACTCGAAAATGCTCTTGAACTACATAGATTTCAATTTCATATTCACAGAAACGACAAATATACAAAAATAATTACCATGGAAATGATGGCATAATAAAATAGTAATCAATTGCTAGGTTTCAGTTTTTATTTAATTTAAAGGAAAATGCTAGTATAATATTGTCATGTTGTTACGAAGTGTTGATTAAAGCGTCTATCGATTACAAATGATTTTCTTTCGAAAAATCATAATTTTCCTTGAATACATTGGTTGAGTCCAATTTTCTCATGATTGAAACTTTTCAGTGTACCCCACCCGTAGAAATTTTCTGCTAAATAAAGGCTTATGATGCATCTGTTTTGCGCAAGCACAAGAATAACTGTTGACAAAAGCTCCACAAAATAATGAGCGAAATATTATGATGTCTTTAGCTTCGACGTATTTATGGAAGTTTTTACCAGCCGTATGTTCCCCTGATTCTATAACTTTAAAGAAAATACGTGAAAGTCGGAAATTGAGGATTTCAATGAACTTTCTAGAAATTTGCTTCTATTGCATAGCTATAATATTCCACTGTCAAAGAATAATAGGCTGTGGAATCATGTTTTTAAATATACATGATAAAGTAACTTCACAAATTGTGATTCTCGCTTGGAGTCGTCAACGTAGAAAGCCAATAGAGCTTTTATCGAGCGTTCGCATACTCGTGAGCTTTTGATACCGAACACCACTAAAGTCGAAAACTTCTATCGGCAATGCTAAAACCTACATCATCTAGGGTAGAAAGACTATTTATCTATTGGAAGCAAACTAGACAGCCACATTCACGTTAATAATCTTCGTTCAAGACAATGAATTGTTGAAACAGTTCTCAATAGAGCCCTATAAATTATATGAATTTTAAGCCCGCACATATTTATGAGTCCCGAAAACAGAATCTAAAGAATTTGAAGACATAGATTAATTGCGAAGCCTTTCCCAATAGTTACCACGATATATAGCATCATTCCAGCGGGAAATTTAGTGATCAAACAATCAGCTTGATCCGTGGCGCCAAAGTTTGCACCTGATTTGCACTGGAGGCTGCCGCTGTGAGACCACGAGCAGTCAATGCCGAAATATAAATGGACATATATTCCGCGTGTATAGCCTCGTAGCTTCTCTCGTCGAAAGCTAACCCAGTGAAAAAAAGTCAGTTTGGTCCATATTGAATTGCGCGCGTGCGAACAGCTCGCCTCGCGGGAATATCGGATTACAGCGTTTGGCGAAGCCACGCACTTGAAACGTTCGCGCTCTCCTCGGCAGCGGGGCAGCGCAGCCGCTATAGCAGCGATATCCTCGCGCTCGCTGTGCTGCGGACGCTTTCCGCGCGCTGACTCACCAGATAGCAGCGCCGGTACAGTTGCCAGCGCGTGTATTACCGCTGCCAGCCACCGACGCTGCCACCGCTGTTGATTTATTTCGATGTTTATGCCGTTTAGGCGCTCGCAGAGCAAGACTCGCCGCGAGTGCGGTTATCGCTGTGCACTTTTCACAGGCTCCGGCGAGGAAGCGCGCGAGGACGAGATCTGCAAGAAAGCAGCGAGAGCTTTTGGAAAGAAACTTGTCGAGAGACAGCGAAACTGTTGATTCTTAAGCTTTTCTTTTTCGGCGAACCGAGAAAGATGCTGTTTTTGCGATGCTTCTTGCAGGCTTTTTCTCGTATCAGCGGTAATCAATAGTATTCAATTTTGCAATAAGAAAAATCTTTATTGCCAGCCAACGATATTCAATTTCATGTCTCAATTTTTATACATCTGTGACTGTTTTCAGTAAAAAGCATAAAATTTGTGAATTCCAAAAGTGTAGAAGCGATCCAACCTTTTCATTATCTAACAATCGCGATGACTTTCGATCGGATGTAAAATCGTTCTAGATTTTTTAGCTAAATCTTTTGAAATACAACGACATCCAGATGACCAATTTAATTATACGTTCAATCAATAGTCGAAATACGACGGTAGTTAACCATATCGAATAATGAAGCCAACCAACGACCAGAGTAATTGCGTATTTTACTAATCACGGTAATATGCAGCTCAACTGTACTCAAAATATTCTTCATCAAAACGTACACAAGACTGCTTATATTAGCTCCAACGTGAAAATATTTTATAAAACACTTATAAAACTTTAATAAAAGTTTTACAAGATGTTTAAGAAAACACTGTTTTCAAATCTAATAATACATTTTAGATATAGTAACCTTCTTCAAAATTTTAGTGCATAAAAACTTCTACGAGTGACAAGAAATCTGATCGTTAATACAGCCTGCAAAAAATTACCCACGCTCTATCGTTTATAAAACAAAATGACGATAGTGGAGTTCACGGACACTTTATTGCTCTGTACTTACGAAAAGTGCAAACTGTATTTTGAAATCAAATGACGTTCGACTTACAATTACTCATAAACGCGGTATGTAGGCGGCTTTTACGTGAGCAGGCTTTTCCTTCCAACCCTGATAAGCTAACAACGCCGACGAAAATGCAACCGAAACCTAATAATAATACCACAAAGCATTAATGTTCACAATAAAATTTCGTTCAACTTTAATTATTAAATTAAAATAAATCGATTTTAAGAAACGTCCATAAACTTTACTGTTGTCATATTCTTATAATCCATATAGAACTTGGGTGATTTTTTGTATGCTGCGCATCGACGATTAGATTTCTTGTCATTCATTGAAATT